AATATCTGAAATATAATATACAGGAAAAAGACAAGTTAGAGTATATCTTTTTTGACTATATAAGGTAAGAACATTCCCCCCACCCCAAAGTATTTAACAGTGCAAAAACAAATGATTCCTTGGAATTATAGAATCATTTAAAATTATTTCTGCTTACTCATCTTAAGTAAAGAAAAATTTTTTTAATTTCGGCAAGGTACTAACATGTTAAGGGAATATATGAATTTTACAAAGTATGCTTAATAGGACTAAATTACAGAAAATCTGAAACAGCTACGGAGGCCACATCATTCAGAAATTTAGTTATTCTCGTCATTATTTTTTAACACAAGTGTTTTAAACTAAAATATTTTAAAATTTAAGAAAAATCTTAAAGACACAATTATTACTGGAAAGCAGGACTCTTCAGGAGTCCTGATAATTCAACATAACATAAAATGTAGGTAGGGGGAGATTAGATTATTGCCATCTCTTATTTTATGCAAGTCCACATTTTAGAGCTGAGAAAACAGTGACAGGTAAAAATGAAAAACTCAAGATTATACAAAAAATTAACATCAGTGTTACGATAAAAACCTAGGTCTCCTCCTTCCTTATTCAGTGTTCTAATTTACCAATTAGCTAAGAGTAATACAAAATAAAAGAATCAATGCAGAAACCTGTTCAGTGACTATTTAGATGAAATAGGGATGTACTGAGGGCAAACACAGAATATTTTTATAATTTTACTCTAGGTGAAAACAGGGCTAATAGCTAAATACATTTATCAGCATTGCTCCAATTCAAGTAGAATCTTAGGAGTCATTTAACCCCACTCATTCGTAAAGTATAGGACAGTCTCTAAAATTCCTTTGCTCTTTCTGCAGAGTTACCCTACTTCATTAAGATTAGCACTGGCACAGGTGCCCCTGTGTTAAACCAAATGGATCAGTTACATTATTTGGAAACACTCTCTATCGAATGGATATATATCTCTTCTATGAAGACGTTAATTCAGAAGCTCACGATTTTGAATTTTCAGTTAGACTTTGAAAATAATGGATACCAGGTTCCATTTCTAGCATGGCAGAGTAGCTCATAACAGACTGACCCTCCTACATATAATAAGTCCAGACAATTTACAAAAAATAACTACCTGAAGTGTAGTTACTATAGAAAACAGTATCAAAGTTCCTCAAAAAATTAAAAATAGAACTACCATATGATCCAGGAATTCCACTTCTGGGTATTTATCCCAAAAAAAACCAAAAACACTAACTTGAAAAGATATCTGCATCCCCATATTCACTGCAGCATTATTTACAATAGCCAAGACATGGAAACAACCTAAGAATTCACTGATGGATGAATGGATAAAGAAAATGTATATACACATACAAACAATGGAATATTATTCAGGAATAAAAAAGAAGGAAACCTTGCCATATGTGAAAACATGAATGGACCTCAAGGGCATTATGCTACGTGAAATACAAATCCTGCATGATCACACTTACATGTGGAATCTGAAAAACCAAAAACCAAACTCATAGAAAAAGACATTAGGTTTGTGGTTACCGGAGGTGGGGGGAGAGAGAAGGGAAACTGGATGAAGGGGATCAAAAGGTACAAACCACCAGTTATAAAATAAGTAAGTACTAGGGATGTAATGTACAACATGATGACTGTAGTTAACATTGCTGTATGATACATAGGAAAATTGTTAAGACAATAAATACTAAGAGTTCCCATCACAAGGGGGAAAAAAATTTTTTTCCTTTTTTTTGGCTGAGTCACGGGGCTTGTGGTATCTTAGTTCCCCGACCAGGGATCAAACCCAGGTCCCAGGAATGAAACCACCGAGTCCTAACCACTGGACGGCCAGGGAATTCCCAAACATTTTTTCTTTTATTTTGTATCTATATGAGATGATGGATGTTACTAAACTTATTATGGTAGGTAATCATTTCACGATGTGTGAAAGGCAACTCATTGTGTGGTACACCTTAAACTTACACAGTGCTGTGTGTCAATTATATATCTCAATAAAACTGGAAAAAATCAAACAATTTAAAAATAATGAAATAAATACCTGAAGACTCAGGACCATGAACAAAAGTAGGCAGATTTGGGAAAGGATTGGGAACTTGAAAGAAGGGACCCATATGGGGTGAGTTTTCCTTTATAGTTTAGCCTGAAAGCAGACCACAGTCAAACTATAGCACAGAGCAGTCAAAATTCACAGAACTTTCTGGCTTGAAAAACCAAAGGACAGAGCTCATGAGAGCCAGAGAAGTGGAACCTAAAATTCTGAGTTTTCTGCCCAAGTCTATTGCTGACCCCTGAACCACACACATGTGAGGCAAACTTAAGCAGTTTTCAGCAAAGGCTAAAAACTGAACTGATATTTGAGCTGCTACCCACCACAGGAGAGAATAAGTCTACAGTTTCACCAACTTAATTGTCTTGTAACACAAAACAAACAACAGTCTTCAGAGAAATACGGTAGAATCCAGAACCTCCACAATGTCTATAATACAATCCAAAATTAATATACAAAGAAACAGAAAAATGTGACCCATTCTTAAAGGGAAAATACAATCAATAGAGGCCATCCTCAAGATGACCTTGATGTTAGAATGACCATACAAGGACTTTAAAGCAGATATTGGGGTTTAAAAAATACTTATAGTGATTTTTAAAAAGTAAGAAATTTCAGCAAAGAAATCAAAACTTTAAAAAAAAAAAAAAAGGAAATTCTAGAACTGAAAAATACAATATCTAAAATAAAATTGTACTGGATGGGCTTAACAGCAGAATGGAAGTGACAGAGGGAAGAGTCACTAAACTTGAAGACAGATCAAAAGAAATTATTCAACCGGAAAAAGAAGGCAAAAAAAATTGGAAACAAAATGAAAAGAGACTCAGAGACCTGGGACAACACCGAAATTCTGAAAAATTACAGGCTTCAGGCAGTTTTTAAAGGACATGTAAAATTTGTTCCAATTTTATGAATAACAGTCACTACTATTTGAGTTCTAGTCTCAGCTCCTCACCTGGCTGTTTTAACCTAAGATTGTCAGCTAATCTCTTCAGGGATTCAGTGCCCTTCTCCATTTAGTAAGGGCACTGAATAGATTAGTGGTTCTTAAATTTAGCTAATCCTCAGAAACTCCTAGGGAGTTTTTTAGAAATACAGAGCTTACCTCCAGAGTTCATGTTCAGAAGGTGTAATATAAAACAACATTGTAAATCAACTATACTTCAATAAAATTTACCCCAAAAAAAAGGTTTAATGAGGTGAAACCCAGGTATTTGCATTTTTTTTGAAGTTCCCTAGATTATTTCTGATGATAAGCCAAGTTTGAGAATCACTACACTGGATAATACTTGGGGAGGTAGGCAGAGCATGTGACAGGGACTCTTGGTACTGACAGCTTGTAAATTCTCAAAAGGAATGTCCTCTACAAAGATATACAGAAATATGATATCCACCAAAACCTTGAAATCAAGTTCCTTAAGAAAGGGCCTGTAGTTTATTAATCTTTAATTTTATCACAGCTAAACTTTAAAATGAAAGTTACTCAAGAAAAAGTCCTTGAAAAAAGGATGTTCTATGCCACCTGCTAACAGATTCTTAAGTTTTTAAGTCACAGCATATATATTTCTAAACATAAAAACAATAAGAAAAAATATTCAGCTTTCTGTGAATTATTGGGGTATTCATTCATTCAACAAATATTTACTGGGCAAGTACTACAGGTCCAGCATTGTTCTAGGTGCTGGAGATAGAGCAGTGAACTAAAGTGACACAGATCTCTGTCTTTATGAAGCTGATATTCGAGTGATATCAAGCCAAGGAAAGTGATATCAAACCAAAGGAGGTACCACTTCATAGAACATACACACTATCAAAGCAAAGGCTAATTCTTGGAATTAAAGGTTTTTTTATCACAGTATTCTTACCTCCGACTCCTCAGGAAGCAATCTGAACTAGTATATTTTTTTAATTGTAACTAATTTATACAAAGCAGGCATAGCTCATTTTACATAACAGTGTCTGTCCCTGAAGCACTATGCATAAATAAAAGTTTAGCAAGCTGAATAATTTTAAATACATCCCTTGAGAAAGTAGGGGAGATTTTAGTTCTTTCAGGAGAACAGCAGTTATTGCCTTACTTCAGGATGTTCTACTGTGAGTCTTCTGGTAAATATATTTATTTTGGCAATTAATCTAAGATATACTGTTCAAGGTAAAAAGACAATTACAGGCTTTCCTGGTGGCACAGTGGCTGAGAATCTGCCTGCCAATGCAGGGGACAGGGGTTCGAGCCCTGGTCTGGGAAGATCCCACATGCCGCCGAGCAACTAGGCCCGTGAGCCACAACTACTGAGCCTGCGCATCTGGAGCTTGTGCTCCACACAAGAGAGGCTGCGACAGTGAGAGGCCCATGCACCGCGATGAAGAGTGGCCCCCGCTCACCGCAACTAGAGAAAGCCCTCGCACAGAAACGAAGACCCAACACAGCCAAAAATAAATAAATAAAATTAAAAAAAAAAAAAGATAATTACAAGAAGGTGAATAGTATAACTGCACAGAAGTGATGAAGGAATTGGTATACCTAGGTTTATGAATGCATACCAAAAAGGAACTCCCTAAGAGATATAAAACTAAATTCTGGGAAGGGCACGCTTAAGATGATGAGGGGGATTTTTTTCACTTTCCTAATTATACATTTCTCCACTGTTTGGATTTCCTAACATAAATATAAACATGTATCACTTCTATGAGCAACAAAAACAATAAAGACATTCCATGGGGTGGCAGGGGGGCAGGGGGGTGCAGAGAGGACAATTATCCCTAATTATTCTGTTTGGAAATGTGTGTATTGTTGTTTTCTAATATATATCATGGCTTTTCTTAAGACAGGGCACCCACGTTCTCCTCTTTTCTTCTATTCCTGTATGTTGCACATACTGCTTGCCTTTCAAATAAACATACTAACATACTCTTTCCATACCTGATGGAGGAATCATCATCCTACGATCTTGTTCCCAGGGAGGTGAAAGGGACCCAGTGTCAGAAGATGCTCTATGAGGATCAGTTAACCTATCAGAGCTTGATTCTCCTCTTTCATTGGTAATCTGATGGTCCAGAGGATTCCCTGGGCCTCTTGAGCCTAATTAAAGAAGAAAAATACAACTATGTTTTATCTAAAAAAGTATTACAAGATCCATCATCAAATAAAATCCAGACATTTTTAAAAAGGAAAAACAATCAGATTCCAACAAAGTTTCCCTAAGACACATTAGACTGTAACTCTATCCTACCAAAGACATTTCTAAGACAAAAAGGAAAAAATAATTTTGTCATGTACATAAGCAAACACTTGCCTATAAAATTCATTTTTAAATGTTATCACCATCATTATTTACACATAAAATCAGTGGTTAAACTGAAAATTATAACCACTAAGTCTGAAAAATAAGAGTAGAAAGTAAACTGCAAAGTAAGAGATGTCTATACCAGATGTAATAATTATAAAATCAGGTTTTTGTTGCTTAAAGTAATATGCCAATAGTCAAAAAGCGCATGATGCCTTTAAAACAGTCATCTTAGAGGCTAATATACCTATTTCAATATTTCTGAAACGACTCGAAGTATTTTTTTTTTTTTTTTTTTTTTTTTTGCGATACGCGGGCCTCTCACTGTTGTGGCCTCTCCCGCTGCGGAGCACAGGCTCCGGACACACAGGCCCCGGACACACAGGCATGGCTCACGGGCCCAACCGCTCCGCGGCATGTGAGATCCTCCCGGACTGGGGCACGAACCCACGTCCCCTGCATCGGCAGGTGGATTCTCAACCACTGCTCCACCAGGGAAGCCCTCGAAGTATTTTTTTAGAACAACTCTTTTAGAAATGTACTCAGATTAACTTAAGAGCCACTCAAAAAATTGGATCTTAATGTAACATGACTCTCTACTTCTGCCCCAAAATGATTTTAACCAGTCTGATTACAAACTTTATATCTGCCAAATAAATTTGGCTTTAAATGGCTTCTAGCAATTTCTAAATATCAAATTCACCTTCAAAGACAGCTCACAACTCTGAAGGCGAGTCTAAAACAAGAGTTTCAAAAACAACAGCACTGTCGAAATAAACACTTTGAACAAGGTAACACTCATTTGAATAAGAAAGACTGACATGCTAACATTTATAAAGAAGGGGAATCATTTTAAAGTTCCTTTCTTATGATCACAGAAAGAATGGTACCTCAATTAATAACCCATATTCAATTAAAATGAAAAATACAAATATAAAAAATTTTTTAACATTAAATAACAAAATGAATTAATATTTCATCTGTCATTGAGGGGGGAATGAGTTCAAAAAACAGTGTTAAAAAAACTGTTTTAATAGAAATCTTTCTACAATGCTTCCTACATTTCAGTACCTCCTTTAAAAGAAGAGACTAAAGCAGAAACTAACACACCACTGTAAAGCAATTATACTCCAATAAAGATGTAAAAAATAAATAAATTATAAATCTTAAAAAAAAAAGAGACTAAAACTAACATGACCTTTTCATGGTAACTTGTACAAGTATAACCGTTTTTTTTTTAATATGTAGTAATCTTTAAAATTGTCCTATCTACTCTCTTTTGTAGAGTCAGGAGGCCAACTGACTTTTATATCAGAACATCAACTTTTCCTTATTCCTTCTAGCATGTTCATCTTTCTAATCAGTTCATTAGAAGAAAAAGGCTGGGAAAGCAGAAAATTAAATCAATGAGACATGTGCGAGATTCCATTAGGCTGTTTGTCTACAGTGAAGGACAGATCTTTAAAGGAGACATTCAAAGGCTTTCTCCTGATTGTTTACTTCCAGAGAACAAAGTACAGGCCAAGTGACTACCAGGTGAAAAACTGCAAACATGAAAACGCTAAAGGTTAAGATTTTTCATTCAGTCCAAAAGTTATATACAGTTTACTCTAAAAAGAAATTATTTTCCTATACTCAACCTTATTCAAACATATATCTCATCCAAACTTTCAAAAAAGAAAATGATAACAAGAGGAAGGAAAAGAAAGGTCATTCTTCTTTGGTGGGCCACAGAAACTTTTAATTCAAAACAACTCTTTTTAAGACCTGCTGATAACTTACCTAAAACTTCTGTAGCTTTTCTAATGAATAGTAAAACACACTTGCAAATGCTAACCACACTGTATCTTGAAAGTAATTTAAAAAGAAAGGAAAGTAATTTAAATAGGAGAGGAGAAATCAAAGGTAATTTTTACTGTTATTCCAAATATTCAATTGACTACAAGCAATCCTTGACTTATGTCATTCAACTTCCAGTGATTCACATTTGCAGTTTTGCCAATTATATACCCTTATTTCTAGGGCACTGTTTTCCAGACTGCTGGCTACAACCCATTGTGGTACATGAAATTAACTTAATCTTAACTAGCATTCTTTTTTAATGAAATGGAATAGAACTGAACAGAAGATATCAGAAAGCATCAAAAATAGTAAGGGTAGTGCTATTTCATATGACTGGTTTCAATTACATTTATGTTGGTGTGTGTAATATGACATGATATAAACAGATTTGGTGCTAAAAACCTAAGACTCTTGATTTTGGAATACATAGGTTTGAATTTTGCTACAACTCAAGGGAAAATTTTAAAGTAACGACAAAGTAAACAAAATATAGTTGAGAGATCAAAAGAGTAAAACTCCAGATATATAGGTAACATCAGGGTAAGTGCTGATGAGGTAAATGCAGAAAGATCAATAGCTAATGCTTGGGCTTGAAGTGGCTCTGGAAATTCTCAAAAACACATAAGAAGGTAACAAAGCAGACAATTTGGGGTCAGCTTCTCAAAGTATTAACAAATGATTTAGGTCTCTTTTAGGTTCCCATCAAAACTCTGCCTTCAAGAGAGCACTTCTGAATTGCTTGTATTTTTTTTTTTTTTTTAAAAAGGCTCTTTCACTTGATTTTCTACCATGAAAAAGATCATGATAATAAGGTAAAAAAGATTTTTAAAATTCTATATTCCAATAATGTTTCATTAAAATACAATTTTATGTATTCTTTATAAAGTGATATATAGTATAATACAGTTTTTAAGAAGTTAAAATATGATTTTAAAAGATATATATCAAGTCCTTGAACAAAATGTAATCCATTATAACAGTGTTTCTAAGGGAAAAATATATTCAAATTAGATGTCACAGAGCTCCTTTCCAAACAAAAGTAACCCAGAATAAGTGCAAGGAATGCCTGTATTTTGCAAAGGTTTATTTTAAAGATCATTTTAAAGATAAGTTGAGATGAAAATATAAAGTAAGGAAGAAATCTAGAGTAATAAAGATGTTTAAACAATATACCTCTTCCTCCTCCCCCTGGAAGCAAAGGTGAGAGTCTGAGTGGACCCTCCAACAAAGTTGGAGGGGAGAGAAAAGCTCTCATTTCAGGTGAAGGTCGACCCAATGGTGAGGGACCATATGGGGAATGCTCTGGAATAATTAAAACAGCATATTTAAATTCATAGTTTCAATTACCTACACTACAGATTAGAATCCCATTTCAACAATTACCTTCGGGTCATTCTATTGCCAATTTAAGTTTAATCCCTGTCTTAAATACTAACCATGCCTTGGGTTTTGCTGATATGGGATAGAATTAAATATTGAACCCTCTGTTTTTAAAGTCTATCTACCAAATGGACACTTCAGTCAATAAAAACATCATCTTCTTGGTAACTAATACACTTGAATAACCATACAATATTAAGCAAAGGACATCATATTTTATAGTAGTAAGAGGACTTGAGGGGCATGAAGTTTGTTTGGTTTTGTTTTGTTTTTAATGGCAGTATGTTTCCAGATATTTAAGCTGGTGAAGGTTGTAACATGGAAGGGCTCTGTTTAAATCAGGGCCAGCCCCAGATAGGCTGTGTTGGGCCATGAATTACCTGAGAAAAGCTCACATTTTGAAAAGTAGGAAAAAAACCCCACAAAATACTCTGAAACATCAGAAATTACTTTTGATTCATCACCAGTGAAAATTCAGTTTACATAAAATAATTCATTAAATAAATCACTTTATCTATAAACCATATAACCAAGAAGAACCTTATCATTTTACAAACTTCACCATTCTCAAATAATGGTTATACTTCCAAAGATCAAAAATCAACAACATCAAAAAACAAACAAACTTAAATGCCACCAAAATAACACTTTTCAAAACATGTTAAATTTTATTATGTAGCTTATATAATATTCAAATATAGTTACAACAAAAGATCAAAGCATTATTTACCCTGAGACTTTTTTGCTTTAGATTCAGATAAAAATTCCTTCTGAATAATTCCCCCCACTCCAGATTTTGTTCCTATTTGAAATCCATAACAATCTTCTATTTTTTAATGTAGAAATACTTTCATTTTAATGAAACTGGACTCTCAAAAGTGATTTTTATAACTTTTCAACAGTTATTAAAAGGGGAATCTACCTATATAAAAATAAGTTTGTTTTCACTGCCCTAGAAGTTTAATTCCAATTCAACCAAAATTATTTGGAAAAATTTAAACTATTTGGAATAGTATGAGATCATAAAGATGCTAACTCATTAATGAATGGACAGAAATATTAAATACATCTTCCAAAGAACTGTTTCTTTTAGGGATAATTAAAGCAATCAAAACTCATATTATTAAGGTTTTCCCAACTTTTTAAAGAATACTTTCAAATAATTTAAAACCAGCTGTTTTAATTCTTATTTTTATAATCCAAGCAAATTCCAAAGAATAGTTAATATATAAACAGTCACAATGCTATTCCATTTAAGCAATCCTTATTCATTCTCCAAAAAAATAATTAAGGAGTACCTTACTATGTACAAAGCACTTTGCTTCTCAAGGAGCTCAAGGTACTAAACATACATTATCTTACCAAATGCCACTGAGAAAAGGAGGCAGCCATTATTTACATTATTGCTAGAGAACAAAACTCAGAAAATTGGGAGACCATGACAGAACTCAGATTAGAACCCTAGCTCCAAAATCTAAAATATTTATTAGCAGTGTTAATTCACACTAATATAAACTATATATGCAATATATATAAAAATATATGCATTTTTAAATGAGGGGTTAGAAAAAAAAAACTACCTCTGCCAAATGCTGTATTTGGAACATCAAGTGCGTAAGGATCTTTTTCTAAAAGTTCAAATTTAAACTCTGTTTCAGTTAATCTGCAAATAAAGAACAAACATCTCTAAGTTACTCATCCAAGAGAAGCACCCACATTTCAAGAAACTGCCACTACTAAGTACAAGCTACTCTTCACTATCTCAATATCTACATAAGAGAAAGAGATCCTTTAAAATTATTCTGATCAAAATACCTTTCCATATCCCCCACTATTTATTTTGGGGTAACATGTTCCTTTTTGCCTAGTAATAGTGATGCTTTGTTGAGGCTTGGAATTGTTTTGTTTTGTTTCTTCAAAAACAGAGTATAAAGAGTACTATATCACAGAATCCAAATTTTAGAAAGATCTTGAAGGGTCCTCCAAGGTCAACCAGTTCAAGTCTATTATTCTACAACTAAGGAAAGTGAAGCTAGCAGTTTAAATGATTTATGCAAAATGAAAGTACCAGGATTAAAACACAGGGCTCCCAGCTCTGAGTCCCATATGCTTTCCATTATAATGTTATCCATATGATTCCAATCATAACATACAATTGGAATCTGATTAACTCATCCTACTATTTTACTCCTAAATTTTTTATCTGAAAAATATGACATTTTAAAAGAATCTTATTTCTAGTTCTTGACCATCAGATCTGAAATGAAACATTTAATCATTCAGTTTTCATTTGTGAGTAGAAAAGACAAGCAAGAAGACTAAAACTAATACTGGATAATGTTAATAGTACATTCTGTCAAGAAATTATAACACTATGGGAAGACTTTTACAATCTTCATAGAAAAGCGTTTACTCTTCCCTTCGATTGTACACTGTACCCGTTTATCCTCCTATTCATTTTGTTATTGTAAAGCAATGCCACCCAATGCAATAAAACCAGGGAAAAAGAGAAATAATAAACATTCTATCCACTTATTCATTAAAAGATGCTAATACTCTGAGAAGTACTATATCAGAGAGATTCATCCTGTCTATCTCCATCTCTGGTAATCTCCTGCTACCTACACTGGTTTAAAAAGGAAAAAAAAATTTTAAGTTACTTTTTACAAAAGAACCTGTGAAAAGTTTCCTTCTGTTAGAGTAACCTCTCCAAGACAAGTGTTTCAAACAAAAATCTAGTAACTCCTAGTAAAACTAATAGATACTTTACCACTAGATATGTTGGGTTCACTGAAAGCTTTCTTGTTTATCCTTATAAAAGTATTAACTAATTACTAAAATGGCAACTAAGAATAAAAGTCATAACTAAAGTTTTTAAAGTATTCCCACTAACATACTTACTTTTGTCTATTGTGAGCATTTTCTTTCCTTAAATCATTGAGGTTTCTTTCAGTAGTTCGAGCTGCCAACTTAAGGAAAATAATATATCTTTAAAAACATTTATGAAAACTTAAAAGATAAGCATATATAAATATCTCAATAATGGCATACAAATATCCCAGTCACTTAAGTAACTAAGTATCCATTTCAGTAAACTCAATGTAAAAAAATTCTAATTCAGAAAATTATTTTAAAAGGGAATGAGTTTCATATAACCAGAAGACATGAGCCTAAGGCTGCAGTTTAATCATGTACTTGCAAGAAATGCTTTTAGCTAGATGTGAAGTCAAGGATTAGTATTATTTGGTGCTGTAAATATCCAAATAAAATGACAAGAGCAATGTAACAGGACCCAAGCTTAGGAATTGAGACTCAGGATCATTATGCATGGCCGCATTGGCTATGGAACAAAGTAACCGTCTCTGGAAAGAAATCACTATAATTCTGTGAACCTATAAAGGTCTAAAACAGTTTCAGAGCTGGTAAAGGCCATTTTTTTTAATGGCTGAATATAATCAAAGCATGCTGTGTGTTTATTAAGTACACAGCACTGTACAGATATATTCCTTTAGTCTTTTACATTTGCTTAGAGACACTTTCATTTAATAAAAATCAGAGTATATATGTTTTAGAAAAAAAAGCTTACACTTATACCAAGAACATGCAATATACCCAAATAGTTGTGGGCAAAATTAAGCTTGTATAGAATACTGCATGTTTCCCAGTTATTCTGTGGACTCTCCAGATTACAAGCAGCAGGGTGTGGAACATCAGACCTGCCAGATTAATGCAATCCACTAGAGCAAATGTAACAATCGCAAAAAGGTAGGTAAATTAACTCAGTCTATAACTATAACTTTTTACAAGTAAAAAGAACTATATTATCAAATGTGTTCAAATGTGTTCACTTAAAATGGTGAACTGCACCTGAGAACTGACTTTAACTAGGCAAATATTCACCAAAACCACATTTTGGCACTCAATATCAAAAAGATTCCATGTGTAAATCTTTTTCTGATATATAATTATATAATCAATTTTGTACTAACAAAAAAGAATACTACAACATAACAATTTTAGTTAACAAAATACCAATTCATTTAACTTTTAATAATGCAGAACTAAAATCATTTCTAAATGTTGTCTATAGTGTAACATATTTACTATTAAGCATATGGCAAAAAAAATGCATAGTTAAGTCAAAAGTAAGTTCTACTCTGATTATAGTATCGTATATATTAAAGATATACCTACAACAGAGAAATATAAAAATAAACTGATGGCAATGATTCATACTTGAAAAGTTTATACACAAAGGTTAGCAAAAACTGTAATTACAGTGAATAACTGCACTGTATTCCAAAACATTCGTATTCAGATATTAAATATTTACAATATACAAAAAAGATTCTATTAGGAACAGGTGTTGTGGAAAATGAAACAGTCCCTATAAGCGTAAATCTGTGGTAAGGACAAATATAAATGACCATAGTACCTGCCACGGGATACAAAAACGCAAAGTACTATGACAGTTTGAAGGAAGAAAAGATTAAATCTAACAGGATGCAGCAAAGAAATGCTCAATAGAGAAAGTAACATCTGAAATTATGAAATTATGTATAACAGTAAAATAGTGGAAACAAAGTTTATAAAATGAGAAAGGTTTATATAAATTATAAAACATTCATAAAAAATATCTATGATACATTAAGAAAGCAGGTTATAAAACGTTAATATATGATTTTGTTTTCTTAAACATATATATGTGCTTTATGTCTAAATGTATCCAAAAAAGTATGGAATAAATTAAAGTAATACTGCTGATTACTTCTTTGTACTTTTCTACATGGTATGAACTTTTGTTCATAGTATATATTATTTTTATAAAATCTGAAAAATATCTTTTCAATTTGAGACATGAAGGGCATATTTTCTGCATGTTGTAATTTAAAGTCAATGTCATTATTTACTAAATAAGAGATTCAATGTATTGAAAAGAAAAAGTACAAGACTTATGAATCTGAAAGGTCAATGTTTCAATTTCCAATCTTCCCTCTCTAATCACGTGACCTTGGGCTATTTCCTCACCAGTAAGACCTGAATAATAATACCTATTTTACAGAGTTACAGTGTGGATTGAATGAGTAATATATGTAAAATGCCTTTAAGTGCAGTGCCTAGAACATAAGAGATATTAATAAACATCAGTTCCTCTCCATCTTGAAAAAATAATTTGCATCTGAGTATTTAGAAAGTGGTGAGAGGGCTTCCCCGGTGGCGCAGTGGTTGAGAATCCGCCTGCCAATGCAGGGGACACGGGTTCAATCCCTGGCCCGGGAAGATCCCACATGCCACGGAGCAACTAAGCTCGTGTACCACAACTACTGAGCCTGTGCTCTAGAGCCCATGAGTCACAACTACTGAGGACGCTTGCCGCAACTACTGAAGCCCATGCACCTAGAGCCTGTGCTCCACAATGAGAGAAGCCACTGCAATGAGAAGCCCACGCACCGCAACGAAGAGCAGCCCCCGCTCACCGCAACTAGAGAAAGCCTGTGTGCAGCAATGAAGACCCAACAAAGCCAAAAATAAATAAATAAAATTAAAAAAAAAAGAGAAAGTGGTGAGGAGTGGTGGAGAAGACTAAATTCATTTCCAAGCCCAGCTTATTAATTCAAAAACAAATCTTCACTTGACCACTCAATACAGAAGCATATAAAAATCTCAAAATTGGGAAGGATCTTGATATTCAACACATATAATCTCTCACTGTAAGCTGAAATCTCCATTCCAAGAAACATCCATGCCTAAAAAAAAAAAATACCTTCCAAGCTTCAGTATAACAACAGTGATAATTTAACAGTTAATATCTACTGAGTGATTACTATATGTCAGGTACCTGGCTAACAGAATTATCTTATTTAACCATCACAATAACTCTATGAATAGGTACTAATGATATCTCTGTCTTTAGGTAAGGAAACTGGTGGTAGGTGATAGAGTCAGAATATCAACCAAGACAGGTTGACTCCAGACCCCATATTCACCCACTGTGCAAACTGCTTCCCGTTGAAGACTGCAAGGGACAAGTCTTCCAAAGGCCAGCTATTAAGAATAGTTCTTCATTTTAGAGGGATCATCCTGATCATTTGTCAAAATCTACATGCTTATCACTTCCTCATACAGTTCCTCTGGAGCACTGACATGTCATTTCTCGTGATGGTCTTTTTCTTAATGTGTAACAAGTAATTCAACAATGAGAAATCAGATACCTGAATTGTATAACTTTTAGAATTAGGAGGGGCTCTAGATTATTACTTAGTACAGTCCCATTGTTTTACAGATGAGTAAACAGGCCCAGAGAATTTTAAGTAATTTGTCCACAAGTAATTAGTTGACAATCCAGTGCCTGAAACAAGTCCATGAAAACTACCTCACCTCCCCCAAAGAGTATAAGCTCCTTGCAAAGAAGCAATGTGCTGAAAGCGGAGAAGAAAAGGTCAGATTTTGTGAATAACTGTATCATAACGAAGTATGTTCATAAGGAACACAATTTCACTACTGGTGAAATTAAAAGAAACTGATTTCTTTAAACATCACCTATTTTCTCAGTTTTAAAAGTGTACTTTTTACACTGCTCATTTAAATTAGGAAAAAGAACAATTTGATGAAAAAGCCTAAGAAAATTTAATACTTACCCAATTATCATGTGCTTTTTTCTCATGAGAAATAATCTGAAAAAGAAAGTCATTAAAATAGTACTGATAACAATTTTTTTCAGTAAAAAACATTCACACCTACCACTATGATTTAGTACGCAACTCATACACTCAAAAATAACTCAAGCATCTCTAAAAAGTCAGCAAGTAACATTTTAAAGCAAATTTTCATATACATATGATCTACTCTAGCATACGTTTAAACAAAAACTGAATGTAAAGACAACTAAAATTTTTGTCTAGTAACATTTCTATTTTACACAATCATCAACTACAATAGGAGGTGACAATTAAGAGACAACTAGCCAGACTAAATATAAGCCCCCAATGCTGATATACGTTTATTTATTTATGCAACCCAAATTTCCAAATCAGCATCAGTTCACATGGCAACTTTAAACAATATCTCGTTCCAGAATCTCTGCCTTCCTAGAAATGTTCCACAGCCATGCGCAAAACCTTAAGAGAGTAACTATACTCCTGCATCAAAACAGATACCAATTCAAACAAACCACAACTGTTTTAAGTCACACACACACACACACACACACACGCACGCACGCACATACCTACCTGTCCTTGATAAGAATGAATGGTTCTCTCCAATTCTTCTTCTAGATCTTTGGCTCGCTTTCTATAAAGAACAAATAATCATTCTACTATTAACATATACTAAGAAATGACAGAACACACTGTCTCTACTGAAAATATTAATTAAAACACCTAGAGTGCTTTGTTTCATGTAACTCTAGAACTCCACATGTTAATCACCTTTACGAGGTTCTAAAGTACATTTTTTCCTGATATAATTTCAACATTAATTAAGCTTTAGGAGTACTACTACTTGGGTTTACCTAAATCAAGATCATGAAAAGATTAGATGGTATACTGGCTCATTTTTATTTTTAAGAAGCATAGTACTGGGAGATTTATTCAGACTTCATATAATCTTAATAGAACTCTAGGAAATTAATGATCTGTAAGAAATAAATTGTTATTTATTACCTCTATAAGACTAAAAAGACAATTCCTTCTTTTGGATAAAATTCAAGCTTACTCTTCCCAATGTCAAATGAAGTATCACAACTATTTGGAATACTGTTGAATCTTGCCACTTATTTTCTCTGGGTTTTTATTATATCTATTATTGTACCTTAGCTCAGTGAGGATTGAGCTAAGGTGAAAACCAGACTTATGGTCTTATAAACACTTCTTTATAACTTTAATTAAGGCTTACTCTCCTTTTGGTGGCATACTTCTCAAATTGATTAACATTATATACATTCTTCCCCATGTGAACCAAAGAGGAAAGACCTTAAAATTAATCACATTCATAAAGTTCTTAACATTAACATAAAATAGGATCACTCACATTCAAATCCAACTAATGTGAGAGATTTAAAATCACACACACTGACAGAAAAACTTTTCCTTTTTATATTTTCCGTATAATTGCATAATAGCAAGACATCTAACTGAAAAATAATGAATCAAAAATATGTGGGATTTTTTTGGTTGCTTTATTATTTTTTCTGGTATTGGGCTTTTGGATACTCTTCACCTCAAAAGAAAGGGGTAAAATATATTCAATACCTATAGGTCTCCAGCTCTTCGGCTGCATGGCTGATCTTTTCATCTGCTTTGGAAAGTTTCTCCTCTTTCTCTAACCGGTAGTTTTCCTCTGCTGTTAACTTCCTTAAAACAAAAAGTGTTTTATTTCTTTTACTATATGTCATAAAATAATCAATAATCAATTACTGCTTCCCATAAAGCAATCTGCAAATACCAGTAAAAACATCACATGCAAGAAAAAAAAAGTGCACCTGAGTGTGGAATTTAATATTATAAACTCAAATTGTAAAGCACCTTGTCTAATACAGTACTAGTAATATAGAAGTTTCAAGTTTTCTATAAGAATTTATCACAGAAATAAGATTATCAAAGGTAAATATTAATAAAAAATATTATGATTCTATATTATTTACCAAGCTTTCTAGTATAAAGAAGTATTACATTTATTAGACAAGAAGTCACCAACTAATGAACTATGTTTCAATAATTTTTAAATTGATTATTAGTTGTTAAAATAGTGATTGGGCTTCCAGGCCAGGACACACGCACATGCACACACACACACACACACACACACACACACACACACACACAAATGAACCCAAAGTAAATAAAATTTAGTGTCCAACTTACTACTTCTACTTAACAATAATAGCTAATTTAATGAGCCCTTCAGCATGTGCCAGAAACTCTTCTTTCATCTCTATATATATTATCCTATTTAATTATCACAATAGCTCTACAAGGGTACTGTTGCGCTTCCCCAGTGGCGCAGTGGTTGAGAGTCTGCCTGCCAATGCAGGGGACACGGGTTCGTGCCCCGGTCCGGGAAGATCCCACATGCCATGGAGCGGCTGGGCCCGTGAGCCATGGCGGCCAGGCCTGTGAGCCATGGACGCTGAGACTGCGCGTCCGGAGCCTGTGCTCCACAACAGGAGAGGCCACAACAGTGAGAGGCCCACGTACCGCAAAAAAAAAAAAAAAAGAAGGGTACTGTTTACAAAAAGAAAAATGAAGCCCAGAGAAACTAAGTAACTAGACCAAGGCATACAGTCAGCAGTTAGTGACTCCATTATACTACATCACCCATGTTGTTTCACACGGTATCATTAATAACACTGGTCCCTCAAGATATACTTGTTGAAGGCCACAGGAAAACATATTGGGAGTCCTCCTACCTATGGATGCCTCACCTTTTTCATGAGCTTTGGGGAAGAACATGACAAACCACTGAAGAAATTCTACATGTCAACAATAAATGTTTTATATTCCACACACTACATTACCTATTGCTTAGGAAGCACTCCCCAACTCAATCGTTTCACAGGTGTTATAAGAAAATAAGTCATCTCCTTAGGAAAAGCATGAAAGTGTAGTGGGCTTGGAGATGGAAGAGAGGTGTATTCTTACTGTATAGACTGTATGGTTAAAAATGGCCAGAAATTTATGACACCCCTCCAGTTGAGACATAAAGTCTATGAACCCTCCTCTTGAATTTGGGTGGGCTCATAAATGATGGAAATTGAGAACTGAAAACATTTCAAACTAATGAATGAAATTGCAATGTGAACAACATGCATACAGCTAGGATTTCTGCTCAGCTTCCCATCCTTGCTTTGAGTATCTACAGAGAATACTTTTTTTCTTTGGAAGTTTAAACATCACTCATTAAATTTCTATAATCAAACATATATTTTTTTGTTCAAAAGATACACTCAAAAGTATTCCTTTCATCTCAAATAATCCCTGTTATGTCCAAAATTTACTCACAGTATCTTTCATCCTAACCTAAAAAGAAGGACTCATTCCTAGGTTTACTGACAGAAACCATGAGGCTACCCTCATAGTAGCTCTTCCATTTAGTCAAGTTTATTTCTCTTTTATGCCTGGAGCAGTCCCAAGTGGCCCAGAAGTCCATGATGAATAGAAAGGTTGTAAGTTCTGAACTGAATCCAAAGCATGATTGAAGTACACAGCTTGGTAGTCAAAGAGCCTAACAAATCACCTAGCATCCTGATGTCAGTGAAGTTTTAATATTCTCTACCAGTTTCCGAACACATACAATAGAATCTCATTATTCCCACTAGTTATGGTCTATAAAGTCACCACAAATCCTAAATTAGCAAATACTGCTCCTAGGGGAAATACAGGGTTAGAGTCCTATGACCTCTGATCACAGCACTTTTATCATTAATACATAACCCTGTTGTATGTATTTCTGGTTAAAGACACCTTATTTAATATATACTGCTGATTCATAACAAGGAACTCATGGCCCACAGCATTATAACTCATGCCTGAACAAAGTTTATCTGCACATGTATTTTCTCTAGAAGGCGCACCCCTGCCTTCCTGCACTTAGCAACGCTAGACAGCACTTCAGTACTACACTTGGGGGCCATTTTAAACAGCTAAATCACCAAAAAAATAAAAAATTAAGATGTGGCCCTAAATAAAGAACACTTGTTTACAGAATGAGAGCTGAAACAAGAAGGCAGAGTTCTTGTTTGACCTCAACTGGGAACATGCACACTGGGCAATTCAAATTTTCTGCCATTCTGTGCAAGTTTGCAAATGACCACTAAAGCTTTGCAAGTATTGATTTTTTTTTAAAGATTTTTTAATATACATGTTTATTTATATTTATTTATTTTTGGCTGTGCTGGGTCTTCATTGCTGTTCATGGGCTTTCTCTAGTTGCGGTGAGTGGGGGCTACTCTTTTGTTGTGGTGCGCGGGCTTCTCACTGCGGTGGCTTCTCGTTGCGGAGCATGGGCTCTAGGCATGTAGGCTTCAGTAGATGCAGCACACGGGCTCAGCAGTTGTGGCTCGCGGGCTCTAGAGCACAGGCTTAGTAGTTGTGACACATGGGCATAGTTGCTCCGCAGCATGTGGGATCTTCCCGGCCCAGGGCTTGAACCCGTGTCCCCTGCACTGGCAGGAGGATTCTAACCGCTGCGCCACCAGGGAAGTCCCACAAGTATTGATTTTGGGTTACAAATAAATTTTCACAAGTAGGTGAATTTACAAATACAGAATCTACGAATAATGAGGATCAACTGTAAAAACTTCCATTAAGTTATAAAGAGGCTTGAAAGTCTGTTACATTTTATCTCCTTTAATGACAAAAAAACATGTGATATAGTGTTATTTGGAAATCTGGTGTCTCCAGATATTTTATTTCCTTTAATGATGAAAAACATGTGATATAGTAGTATTTGAAAATCTGGTGTCTCCAGATAGGTATCTCAAGGGTCTTCTGTGTATCTACGCATTCAAGCATCAGCATGCATACACATACACATAAACACACACACACACACACACACACACACAAACACACACAATCTTTCACTACAATATATAAAGCACTAAACATATTTATTCATATATTCAACAAATACTTATTGAATTAACTACCATGTGCATAGTTTCAGGCACTGGGAATACAGAAGAGAAGAGAATGAAGTAATTATCTCATGGAGTTTATATTTAATGTGGGGAAGATTTAAAAAAAAAAGATAATCAATCATCAGAGGATAATGAAGAAAAATAAAGCAAGATACAAGATAAGGGGATAGGAAGGGGCAGGTATTATTTTAGATACAGTAGCCAGCGAAAGATTCTTTGAGGTAACATTTGAACCTAGACTCAAGTGAAATGAAGGACTGAACCTTACACAGGGGAATAACCACTCCAGGCAGAAGGAACAAGTGCAAAAGGCCCTGAGCTACAGATGTGCTTGGCATGCTAAAGATCATCAAAAAGGCCAGCATGGCTGGAAGATAGTGAGGGAAAAAGAAAATGAATAATCTAAAATTAAAGAGGTAGCAACAGGCCAGATCTTATAGGGTCTTGGAGGCCATGATAAAAGCTGTGGATTAAATTCTGAGTGTGATGTGCAGGCACTTGGAATTTCCAAGCAAGAGAGTGACAATACCCACAATTTATGTTTTAGAGGGCTATGCTACTGAAAACACATGCAGGAAGTTAAGAGTGGAAAGATGGAGACCACTCATGAGGCTACTGCAATAAACCAGGTACTAACAGATGATGGCTGGGATCAGAATAGCAGTGTGGGAGGTGGTGGAAAGTGGTCAGATTCAAGACATAGGAAAGCTGACAGAATCTGACAATTGACTGAATGAAAGAGAGAAGGCAAGGATGGCTTAAGCACCTGCCCTGAACAATTCAGCAAATGACACTGCCTTTTACTGAGACAAGGAACACTTGGGCTGCAGCAATTTACACAGGGGAGAGGAATCAGTTTCATATATATCTGAGATGGAATTAATGGATAGTTCAATTAGTAAGATGTCCACCCAGATTCCCAGACCCAGCTTGCACTATTGGGAAGTTTAATTAGCAATAATTTGCTGACTACTTATTAGAAGTTAAAGAGGATTTTGTGAACCAGACTGGAAAGTCTACTATCATTTATATTTTCTTCCTTGAAGAAAAATGTGTCAAAATCAAATAACTTTCTTAAAAATAAATTGATGAAAAGCAACCCAGTCATAAATTGAGAACTGTGAATAATCACATAAGCTGCATGCATATGCAACATTTTTAAGCTACTTTACTTCCCACTCAGTGGAGTTACCAACATAATTTTTATTACCTGTGAAGTGTCATTTCATTTTCTTGATACAGTTCAGTGATTACTTTAAGTTTCTGCTGAAGCTTTTGAGTCTCACTTTCAAACTGTGTATTTTCTGACTGTAAAGATGCTTGTTCTGTCTGGAGATTATTAATACACTCTACAGAAAAAGTTTTTAAATCACAATTAAAGGAGCAAATATTCTGAGTTGCACAGTAACATTTCATAAAAATAAAAATTACCAAAAATAATTAATAAACTAAATTCTTTGCAACAGAAAATCTATAAGGTATTTTGTTCACCTAAAAACCTTTTAACATTTTAAAGAGTTATATAAATTATTATAATTTTTTTTATTATTTAAAGATTTACTTTAAAAAAAAATGTCCTAAAACCTTCAATATTCTAATTCTAGCATCTAATTTTCAGTTTAGGAGACAAAAGCCACTAAAATTCTCAAAGTTTTGATGATGAGGGTTTTGAAGGCAAATATTTTAGTTCAATATTTTCCATGAAACTACTTCCACATGATGAATAATGCATGTTTTTTATCTAGTAAAAACTTTATCCATTAATACTTAACTTCAACCCAGCCTCTTTTTAAGCCAAAATTTTGATATATGTTATAAATCAAGCCAGAAATTTGGATCTTCTGATAACAAATGCTCTAAAGTCTTGCTAGCTTAAACCATATCAAGACTGGAAAGAAAAATACCAATTTTAGCTTTGTTTCAACCTAAAAGAATTATCTATGGAACTAAAATTAACAATTCTAATTTATTATGAATATTTTATAGTTAGTGCAACCACTGTTTTTAAAACCTTATTACTCTTCCAACATAACTTAACTCAACTCCTCTAAGACTGAGGTGATATCTCCCCAAAAGTGTGTATGAATCACCACTATACCATATATCTTAAAACAAGGCAAAACACTCTGCCTAAAGAGGGCAGTTTCAAAATCATACTAACAAGCATTAAAATTTTATTTACATGTAATAGTATATAATTATTCTAAAACATCTATTAATTAAAGGTACACACCAAAATGATAGTTTAAGTAAATACCTTAACATTGAATGATTAAATGTGCAGGAAATTGTCCACATCTGTCTTTCCACAGAAATTTAAAAATCTGTATCAGTTAAAAAGTCTGTTGACCTTCGCTTTAAGCCATTGCCACTGTTAAGTCTTAACAATTCTTAACAAGCCACTGTTATGTCATTTAACTGACATTAATGTTGGACATTATCTCTATTAAAATTGGATCATCCCTACTTTTTTTTTTTAAATTAAACCAACAGTTAAATCTTCATTATACTTTTGTACTTCTACCTTAACTATTTTGTTTCAAATCCTCTGTATCTTAAAAGAGGACTGTAAATGATTACCGAAAAAGGCAAGATCAGAGGAGAAACAGTTTAGAAGAAAACTTTCCTGTTATGAATAGAAGATCAATTATAGAAATTAATCTTTCATGACCCATTAAAAAAAAGAAAGATTTGGAAGAAGCATACAAACACAAAGTCTCCAAATACTACTTTTAGAAAATAATAACTTGCCAAGAAATTTTATTAAGTGATGGGGTAACTGGTGAGCAAATTCCTTGCTATTCTAGCACTTACTACAGTTCCTCACTGAGAGCCTGTTAATGTACTAAAATATGGCTTCCTTGAAAGCAGGCTCCATATCTTTTCCTCCTGTAAATCTCCCATGGCTTTTAGCACTATGCTTTACATATAGCAAAACGTTATTTTTAAGTTAATATTAATGTTTTTCAAAATCCAAAAATAATCCAACTACCAGTATCGTGTGAATAGGGCAATGATAATTTTATAAATAATCTGTATCTCTGGTGGTTCAACCTTTTCAAAAAGTGTCTTATTATAAATACAGTTCACTTATTTGAGAAATTTTTGAAAATACAGATAAGTACAAAGAAAACAGAAAACTGTCCCATATTCAAAGAGAATCATGGTTGACATTTGAGAATGTCCTTCCATTATTTTTTTATGCTAACAGTTACGGTGAATTTTTTTTTTTTTTACAAAATGGAATGCCACTTATATCAACTTTAAAAAATTTCAAACATAACTAACTGCATTTGTTTACTTTAGGGAAAAAACACTATCAGCAAAATAAATTAAAATCTTTTCAATAAAAAAAACTTCAGTTCTACAGGTCTAACATCATTCCTGTATGTGCTAATATAGTATGCATGTACATTAAAGGAAAAAACTATTCTATAAAAAGTTCTGTTAAATACAGTAGTACCACTACTAAAAATCAATTTTGCAGTTAACGAAGATTTTTTTTAACATCTTTACTGGAGTATAACTGTTTTACAATGTTGTTAATTTCTGCTGTATAACAAAGTGAATCATCTATACATATATATATATATCCCCATATCCCCTCTCTCTTGCACCTCCCTCCCACCCTCCCTATCCCACCCCTCTATTAACATTTTTAATTTGCTACTTTTTAACCACTAAAACCATACCACACGTATGACACTGAAATTCAAAGTAAGTAGTTTTACATGTTTTTTAAAATAATGCCATTAATTTTATATAAATATGGAGAAAATGATATGGCTTTACCAACAACAATAAAACCTCACGACTAACTTTTCAGATAACCAACAAAAGTAAAAGTAAAAAAAAATCAAATTGTATCTCCCCATAATTGATTCAATTAATGTACCATTCTCTATAAGATGTATTTATTTAGAAAAACTTTATAAGTATGTAGATTACCTACCTGTAAGCTCTTCTTTTGTTTTATCAACTTCGGATAATTGAGTGTAAATTTGGTTTCTTTCTCCTTCTAGGGTTTTTAAAGAAGCTCTTAACTTCAAAGAATGGGAGAAGGAGAAGGAAGAAAAGCAACATTAATCAATTATACCAAAAAAACAAAAAAATCTCAATACACCATCCCAATCCCTTGAAGCTCTTTTACACTCTGATGAAATTATTGCCTAGACTACACAAACCAACAATGTAGCTTCCATCCTGGAAAGTTAGCAAAGTCATCAATAGTTGTAAATCTCCAAACAGGAACAGAGAAGATCAGTGACAGATGCTTGAATAGTGGCTATCTGCTTTCAGCACATAAGATTTTTTTTTCGTTTTTTGTATTTTTTTTTTTTCTTTCCCCTGCAGTAGAAGCTTTGGAGTCTTAATGACTGGACTGCCAGGGAAGTCCCAGCACATAAGTTTTGATTAAAGCAACCTTCAAACTACATTACCAAGACTTCACATAGATCAATAAAGATCAGGACGCCACTACTAGGATGAAAAAGGTTAGGGATAAACCACAAGAAAATGAATCTAATACCTACTTCTCAAAATAAGATATTAGGCAATAGGGGATCAGAAAATACTGAGACCAGAGGATGAAGAATGCACAAAGAGGGAAGTATGGGAGAATATATAGTAAACATTCTTAATATATTCCTTATCCAAAGAAACGAGTGTATACCTGAAAAATTTTATGATAAATTCTAAAAATTAACAATATGAATTTTATAATAACAATAGTTACTATAAAAAAGAAAAAGCAATTGAAGAAAATTCTGATCACTTCTAAAAATTCTATCACTTCATGGTAACTATAAAATGGACTTTTAAAAGTTACTAGGACATATGGATGTTTATTTCTTTGTCTATATTCTTTACATTTCTGTAGTAATGCAAACCTTAGCAGCATGAATCAGTTTCTTCAAAGCTCCTTTCGGTTGATTATCTACAGTGAAAAACAAAAACATAATAATAAATTGAGAAAACAGTGCAATGCCACAACAGACATTCAAATGATTTTATTAGTTCACTCAACTAGAGCCTTATAATCCGTCTTCTTGCTACAATAAAGAATTTAATATAAGGCAGAACAGCCTCGAATCTGCTCCCAGGAAGCTAAACTAAAAAAGCACTGGAAGTACCATAGTATCATCTAACAAGGTTCTTCACCACTAACTCCAAGAACAGAGTTATAACAGGGATTTGGTATTCACCTAAATCCAGCCCACCGTCTCAATTATTCTTAGAATCCTTCAGCTTACAAAATATGAGTGGAATTATACTCCAAATTACAATAACATTAAAAAGCATGAGTTTTCTCATTAGAAAAAGAATTATTTCTTACAAGATAAAGCAGAAGTGAAAAAGTATAAACAGAACTATATGTATTTACTTTGAAATGTACTTTTCTTCCAACACATTAATGCTATCATCAAAGAAAATCTTTTAAAAAATCACACCTTCTCCTTAATATTTGTTAATTATACAGGGGATGGAGGGAGAGAAAAGAGAAAGGGCACTGAAGTCAGAAGAACTATCATTGAGGGAAACGGGATGAAGATACGTGAGACTTCTCTGTACTGCTTTTACAACTTTCTGTGAGTCTATAACTATGTCAAAACAAAATGTTCTTTTTTTAAGTCAAAGAAATTGGTTTGAAAATACATTAAGTGGCTATAGTGAACCTAACTTTTGCTGAGTTTCCATTCTGCAACCAACAATGGCAATAAGAATTTGGGATGGCCAAGATTAAAGTACTGTAAACATCTGAACCATCTAAAAAAAAGGTATCCTGAGGCATTCCTTTATATAACACTCATTTTTCAAACTACTCACCCAGCCATTTGATCAGTTTACAGTACAGGGAAAAACAGGCATGGAAAAAATGATTATGATGCAATGTGAAGAGTGCTGTAATGTACAACATATAAAAAGAACAGAGAGGAAGAAGGCTGAAGGTCTATCTGAGGGGCTGAAAAAAGATTTACTGAAAAGGTGTTATCCCAGCCGAAACAACCATAAGGGATAGTGAGAGAGGGGCAGAATATTACACAAGTATATAAAGAACATGGCGCACATGGGGAACTAAAAGGAAATACAAGAGTCAGTCATCGTTTTCGGTAAAAGAGGATAAGTCATGACTTAATACCTAAGTGCGCACCATTCCCTGAATCACTCTTCATTTCCAATTCCAAGTTATCATCATCTGTTATGTCTTCTCCAAGCACAGCAGCCCAGTCTTTCATCTTTTGTAAGCGCTCAGTCAGAGACTTGACATTTAGCAAAGGGGGAAAAAAAGAGAGAGGGTAATACCTTATGCTAACAGCTTTACAACTTCTGAATGCATAGTTGTAGTCTAAAAATCAGTCCACATAGATGACGGTACAGGAGCTCTTATTCTCCACCTGGCATAAAATATGTGAACACTCTCAAAAACTAACATTTATTTACTATTAAACTCTGCAAGTTAAAAATCAAGACTGGTTATTCCTAAGTCAAATACAATACTTGATAATGGCCCATTTTTGCTAAAAGTATCACATGGCTATAAAGCAACAAAACACTTCTTACGTGATGTTTCTCACTTGCCATAGTAAGAGTGGTCATTAGCATGAGAGTCAATTTTGTGTGAAGTCAAACAAATCCTCAAGTAAGGTACATGATATATGAAAAAAATCACAGATTTCACAGATTAAATTTATTCAAGTAAACAACTAGCTGAGGAGCTCAACTGACATAAAGAAAAGGAAATTATAAAAGAGAATCTGAATTGGAACATTAGAGGTTTTCCAACAGTACTTTTTTGAATTTTCTTAAATAAAGGAAGATTTTCTTAAACCATAGAGAATAAAATAGACTGTCCCACATATTTCTGTGGAAGGACCCACCTAAAAAAACCCATTCTGCTCTACAATTTCCACCCTTCGATCTCCTCCCTCTTGAGTTCCAGGCACAAATATCATGGCCTACAACTTTGAGTAGAGCTTGAGATTAGCATCTCATTCTTGTTCTGTTAGGAGGAGTCCCAAGTTCTTTAGTAGAGTAAGTTTAGGGAAAAAAAATAAAACAACAAAAAAAAATAAAACAAATTATGACTACAAATCCTAAAGATGGAATCTTAAAAACATCCTTAGTAGCAATGTAAATAGCATAAATGTATGGCTTTCAAGATGAAAACATCCACTTCACTGTGCAGATTACAGAATGTTAATTGTACAGCTTATTAGTATTTACACTTGAGTATCTGTTTGCAGTTTGAAAGTATAAGATTTAAAAGAGTAGGCAGGTGGACATATATACACTACCAAATGTAAAATAGATAGCTAGTGGGAAGCAGCCGCATAGCACAGGGAGATCAGCTCGGTGCTTTGTGACCACCTAGAGGGGTGGGATAGGGAGGGTGGGAGGGAGATGCAAGAGGGAGGAGATATGGGGGTATATGTATATGTATAGCTGATTCACATATAAAGCAGAAACTAACACACCACTGTAAAGCAACTATACTCCAATAAAGATGTTAAGAAATTAATTAATTAATTAATTAATTAATTAAATTAAAGGGTAGGCAGGAAAAAGTGGTAGGAGGGAGAGACGGGGCGTAGGAAAAAAAAAAATCAACAAATCCGAATAGTAATATCAACTATTTTATTCCTATTGGAGTCAAATTTCAATTAGATTTACTTAAAGTATTCCTCTCTGTAAAAGTACATGTATCAGTTAATCTAGTATTAAAGACATTCAGCCAATACACATAACCTCACTTGTCCAGTTTATAAAATTCTTTCCAACCTCTTCTTATCAACAAAAAAAGATGGCAATCTTAAGATAAAAGGTAAAATCCAATATCCTTTGTCTTTCTTCAGTAAATACCTAGGCTAAAATACAGAGAAGAAAAAAGGACACAGGGAATATAGATGTATATATACTACAAATCTACAAAGTCTTCAAGGAACATTAGGCAGCAAGGATAACAACACTGGTACAAATTGGAATGTATGCCCAAAAGTACACTTTCTCAAATTTGGCCAAATAAATTATCAAAATAAAAGCTGCTAAAAATAAAATTTTTCAAATTCCATAAATTAGTATAAAATTCTAGCTTAACTCATTCACTAAACCAGCAGGGTCATTTACCTTAATCTGATTTTCTTTATCACACAGAACTTGTTCCACATGTACTTTGGAGTCTTCGAATGTTATTTTCTGTTTATTAAGTTCATTCACTTGTTCTCGCCATTCTTCAGCTTCTTGTAAAAGCTAAAATTCAAACCCCAAATAAAAAGAAAAGCAACTCATATTATCTCATCATACTTATGTGTAGGTATACTTATTTATATATCTAAGGTGTATCATTAATAGAACCTCACAAAAAGGAAAAGTACCTCATTATCTTATCATACGTAGGTGTAGATGCACTTATTTATATACCTAGGTGTACCACTAATAAATATACAACACAATGTGTTACTGAGAAGGGAGAGAGAAAGGGAGGGGGGGAAGGAGAGAGGAAGGAAAGGAGGAATGGAATGAGGAAAGAAGGGAAGGAAGGAAAGCGGAAAGGAAGGATTCAAAGAACTTTCAAAACAGGGGTAAGGCAAAATAAGACACTTAAACATTCTTCAACTGATTTACATAATAAACTTATATCAAATAAAAAGCTTTCTAAGACAAGCATATTTGTTAGATTTGGCCATTCCTTACCATTCCTTATATCCCATATAACATGCCATACCTTACTTGTATTAAAATTTATTTTTTTTAATCATGTGCCATTTTGTGGTTAATTAACCTTCAGAAATACCATTAATCTAGAACAGGTCAAATTCTGCATAAATAATCTTTTTTTTTTTTTTTTTTTTTTTTTTTTTTGCGGTATGTGGGCCTCTCACTGCTGTGGCCTCTCCCATTGCGGAGCACAGGCTCCGGACGAGCAGGCTCAGCGGCCATGGCTCACGGGCCCAGCCGCTCCGCGGCATGTGGGATCTTCCCAGACCGGGGCACGAACCCGTATCCCCTGCATCGGCAGGCGGACTCTCAACCACTGCGCCACCAGGGAAGCCCAATCTTTTACTGTATATACTTTTACAGGAGAGGAAAGATTTTCTCAACATGAATAAAAGATAAAGATTGTTATAAAAGATAAACTTAATTACATACTGCTTAAAAGCTTTGCAAATCAAAAAATAACAGAAATAAAATTTAAAAACAAGTAACGAGAAAGAAATTCTTATACATACCAAAGCGTTAATAACCTTAACATGCAAAGAGCTCTTAGAAGTCATTAAGAAAAATAGCACTCCCCCCCCAAAAAACTAGAATCAGCAAGCAATTTACAAAAGAATCGGCCCATATGTATATATATATATATATATATATGAAAAAAAAAGGCCAATTTTATTTAGTCTTTAAAACTCTATTCTATCAAATAGTAATTACTGGGTTTCTCTGAAAAACTAAGGCTTCATCAGCATATTCCCTAGCACAAGAAAAACCAATCCTTCTCCATGCATGTATAATAGAATAAGACAACACTGACAGATTAAAAATAAATAAGAATTGAAGAATGAAACAGATTTAGTGATTGGCTGGTCTCTACTGATTTACTAAAGACACTGCATACACAGCATGCAGTCTTATAAGGTTAAAGAAGAAATGTGTTAGAACATGGAATCAGTGAATACAGAATAGTTTACTTCAAGAACTCTGGTGATTAAAAAGGAATTAGATGAAAGCAGCTATAAAGAGTAAGACAATCTAGGTGAAATTTTTTTTTCAGGGTACTAAAGGTCACCTTTGATTATATTGATAACATAGCAAAATTAACACAGGGTGTACCACCATTTTCTCCTGAAATCTACTAAGATGACAGTAAAGAGGTGTAAGGGATAAAAAGCATAAACCCTCAAGGAAAAAGAGAAAACGTGATGAGGAAAAAGATAATTCTAGAAGTGGAAAGTGGAAAGAGATGGAAGCATGGTAAAAGACCAGACAGAAGTGAAATCTAAGGCAGAAGATGGGAGACTCTAAAAGTAGGCTGACTTGATACAACTCAGAATGGCTCATGATTTGGAGGAACAAGTACTACGGTATATGTGGAATGAAAAGAGGAGGACTGCTCAAAAGTCTGTATGAAAAGCAGTTAGAAAATCCCCTAAGTTCTCCCCGCACACATATACACACTCTCTAATGCTCAATCCATCCCTCTCCCCCACACACACCACTGTCTTTCACATGCATGCACACATGCACAGGCACACTCACACACATACACACACATCTGGCAAGAACCTGGAAGGTTATTCTCTGGAGAGCTAGAATCTGAAACTCTGGGACACCTGACCCAGGTAAAGGTGTGAGTAACAAGCTGAAAACATAAAAGCATTAAGCAAAAGTTGACTTACTGAAATGAAGAGTGAGATACCAGCCCTCCTTACCTCACTAAGCTGCTTACCTCACTGTTGGCAAACAGGCTTATACCTCCCAAATGGGAACTATGGAGGAGTCATCCCTGTGGAAAATGGTCTTTGAATACCAACAATCAGAGATCCTCTAATGAAATACCCTAGCCAGATTACCCTATGGAGGGGTCCACAAAAAACACACACAGGGCTTCCAATGAGATTTGGAGAGCTTCACTATTAAATGAGCAGACACCCAAGAACCATCAAATACCTGAGAAAAGAAACTCTTAGATAAAAGACATAGACTAGAACAGAAAATAAAGGAGCTCACACGAAACAAGGCAACTCAGGGAAAAACACGTCAAAAAAGAGGAAAAAAAACCATAATATCCTCAGCAAAGTAAGACACTGCATCCATGAAACCAGAAAAAGGCATAAGCAAAACAAAGAAGTCTTACAAGTGAAAAATATCAGAGAATAAGTGAATGAAAGTTCCACAGACACAAAGAAACCAAAAAAGACATTTTCAATAATTTCATATATCATACAAAATACACACCAAAAAGTATGAAATAATTTAAGTAAATTTCCCAGAACTGAATCAAGAGCAAGTTTCCAGACTGAGAGTATCCAACAAATGTATAGAAAAAGACCCACACTAAGGCACACCATCATGAAATTTTAGAGAACTGGAAACAATGAAAGATATTAAAATTTTCTACTGGAGAAAAGAGTAGGTCACAAAAAAGGTTCAGTAATCCAAATAGCATTTGACTTCTCAAAAGTAATACTGGAAAATGAAGACAATAGAGCAATTATGTCAAAATATCAAGAAAAAAAAATTTCAACCCAGAAGATACCCAACCAAAATGTTAACAGTATGAAAGAAGAAGACAGTCTAAGTCATGAAAGTTTTTTAAAAGTTACCTCCTATACCTTTTCTCAGGAAGCTAATCAAGGGAATTCACCACATAAAAGCACAGGTAGGACACAGGAAATAAAAGATCTAACACAAAAGAACGACAAGGGAAAGGATGGGGGTGAAGTGAAATCTCAGAACAGCAGAAGTATAACAGACCTAGAGAACAAGTTCCTACTGGACCAGGAGGATGGAAGACCCCAGGAAGGACTGCTTCAAGGAAAAAATGAAATTAATAGATTAACCAAAGCATTTGAACACATAAATATTTACACAATCTCTAAAAGAGATATATATGATTGAACTACAGATGAATTACAGATAGGTATAAAAGAAACAAGACAATTATTAACTCTAGGGCAAATAAAATGTTGAGTGAAACGGAATCAGAGCACACCATGTGTCTCAGCTGTAATATTTAGAAAATCATAAATAATGTAATCATTAAAAATTTTCCCACTGAAAAATTATAACTGTATCGGGAGAACAGTTGGAGAGGAAATATATTTGGGTATGTGGCAGTGTCTACATATGTGGGGAGGAAGAGGGTAAAAGTTAAATCCTCATTAGATCTGCCACAACAACTGCTTCTGTCTTCAGGGCCCAGACACACAGCTGCAATAACTCTCACAGTATTCTCTGCCCTCCTTCAGTCTGGCTTTGAAGATTTGTGCTAAATGCTATTTGTTATTATTATTATTAAAATGCTGAGTGCCCGGGCTTACTTTCACTCCTGGGGGAAGAGGGTTCCAGGAATACAGACCTCTGTATCCTATATAAAAGAGACACCATAGGATACATAGGAGATTGTCCTGATCTTGTGGTCTCCAGAAAGAGCCTACTTTTGCCCCTAGCATGCGTCAGTCATGACTGTGCCCAGAACGTTTATAATTACATACTCACAAGTTGGAGTCCCTTTACAGTACAAACCTGTTTCTGGCTTTCCTGAAGTTGAGAATTGTCACTCAAAGCCTCTTTTATAGCTACCTTAAGTCTTTCTTCATTCATCTGAAATATTTTGAAGGTTGTTTTGGCCTAAGTAAAATACAACATATTGAGATTACAAGAATTAGTTTAATACAATAGCTCTTTTTTACACACACTCCCTGAAACACGGAATTAAAGTCAAAAACATGCCAATATTAATAGGAGAGGCAGCATGCTGTAGCAGAAAAAAAGGCTGGCCTAGACTCAAGGTCTAGTCACTCAAGGTCTAGTTGCTCCGCCACTAACTTGCCACATGACCTTGGACAAATGATTTAACCTCCTGTAACCTTCTATGTACTACGCGGCAAATTCTGTTAACTTTCTACTGTCTGTCTCTCTTACCAGAAATTAAAATCCACAAGAGCCTTTCTATTTTGTCTACTAATATTAAGTGCCAATCACCTTCAACAGTGATCAGTACACAGCAATGGCTCAATAAATACTGTCCAATGAAAAACATGAACTTTCCTCAGATACCCTGTATTTTTAAAATACATCTGAATTCTATTATTATACCTTATTCTTTAATTATAAAAGTAATAGTAAAATGTGATTTTCAAAAGCAACAGAGCTATTAAAGTAATTCAACTTACTTCAGATACTTGTGATTTGAGGGACTTTGATTCCTCTTCTAGGGACTGTATCCTTTTTGAAATATCCACCATCTAAAAAGGCAGTATAAATCAATAAACAAGTATATACTAAACTCCTCCAGTTTTCAAGATGCCATATATATTAACTATATTATTAACCTAACACTTTTGCTCCAAAAGTGAGGGTTCAAATTAAGAAACATTCTCAGCCATATGCTTAAAGGGATTTCATACAAAAGTTACATAACAACAGTATTTCAACTCATCTTTAATATTTCATAACACTTAAGTTATACAGGCACAAAAGAAGTCCACTAGCATCATATCTGACTAAATAATCTCACACACATCAAGATAATCCTTAAGACAGATTTTAAAATAGAAAGACAAATAAAGGATAGTTAAAGTTCTTAATACAAGTTTTGAGTAATTTTAAAAAATCCACTATGTATGTGACTGTTCAACTTAAATTATTTGTGTGAGCTACTTCCATAGTTCAAATAGAAAATTTCTATAAGAATATGAAAGAAATGTAACATAATAATGGTAACCTTTAACAAATGAAAAGAGCTAGTGGATCTGGAAATTTTTATTCTCCACTTTACAGCCTTCTGTATTCTTTGGATTTCTTTTTCTTTTTTTTTTTTTTACAGTGCATGTAATACTTTAACCAATATCATATCATTTTTTTTAACTCAATAACTTTCTTTTTCCTACAGTTTCCTCAAACACAAAAATCTTACCAATTCATCTTGTTCCGAATGTTTAGATTTCTCTTCTTTTAACTCTTTTTCTAGAATGAGTATTTCATCCTCAAGTTCAGATGTGGACCTAGTCAGCTTTTCACAGACTGCCTAAAAGAGGAAGCCAACTTTATAAGACTGACATGGGAATTTTTGGTCAAGATAAATCAGATGAGTGTAATCAAATACATACTACAAGTTAAATAAGTCTAGTTTATATATTTGTTCATTTTTATAACACCGAAATAACAGCAATACTAGCAGGTATCGCAAACTTTTTCTATAAAGAGACAGAAAGTAAATATTTCAGGCTTGAAGGCCACATAGTTTCTGTCCCAGCTATTCAAGTGATATGCATATGTAGTGAGAAAGCAAAGGCTATATGTAAATGAATGAGCATGGCTGTGTTTCAATAAAATTTTATTTACAATAACAGGTGGAGAGCTCAGAGTGTAGTTTGCCAACTTCTGCTCTAAAGCATTGTAAAAGAAACCATAAGAAAAAAACCAAATTTAATATAAATATATAAAATAAAAAATAAATTCAAAAAACAATCAAGATAATATTCTATACTGAATTAAGATATATTTTCTGTGACCTTTTTAATTTAAAATGATTAATTGTTGGATTATTCCAATTGGATTTTAAATACTGTAATAAACATACCTCTGATATTTGTGATCCTTCAACAAACTTGTTAAAAAAAACCAAAAGAATCAAAGAATTTAATGCAGGCCAAAATAAAAGCAGCACAAGTACATACTATATCATACTGGTTAAAAAACTCATTTACATATATATATATTTTCCCAAATTTGACTATCTGATTATATGAATTCTCTGACTTGAATCAAAATTACCCTATTGTTTTGATTTTATCTATAGATTCAAACATCAATTTTTATAATTATATCACATTATAGTTTATATTCAACTATGTTTATCAATCTTGAAAATAAACACTATATATTTTTAAAAATTACTAAAATTAGAGGAAAACTTCCAAAATATTCATTATAAAGTAAAAATTTAGCTAATTTTATGGCTAGATTACATAAATTCAATGCCTGAGAATAAATTGGTGTGTTTTATTTTATCGACAACATCACAAAGCTTAAATATTTTTGCTCTCCAGTTTTTGCTGTTTTGTCAGCATGCTAAATTCCTTATAAAATTCTCTTTTAATCAATCTAATAAATTACTACCATAACAGCAGTTAAAACAGAGGGTCAACAAAAAAAATACAACAATTTCAACAAGTTCTTAAGACTATTAATAGGTAAGAAATGAAGAAAGAAAAGGTTAAGAAATTAATTTCATTTGGAATTCAATTTATAATTTCCTTTGGACTCTACTAAGAAATTCTGATTCATGATATATATGCTTTCTGATGATTACAGACATCAGTGATTGAGAACTGCCAAGCTGAACTGACTGAACTCGTACAACAAAGGTACAAAGTCCATTGTTTTCTACTTTAATATTAGTATGATTTTTACAACATTTCCATCTCTAAAGAAATTGCTATTACTTACCCTAATCTGTCGTAGCTTAGCTAAATGACAAATTATCACAGTTTCCTTCCTTACTATTACCTAAATCATGCCTCAGTCAGGAGAGCTGACTCTTTATCTCTTCCAAACTCCACATTCAGTGGCATCATGTTGGTACCTTGAAATTGGTCAAGGTGGGAGTATTTACACAACAGAACCCAGCAAATGCTACAAACAAAGGCTCCTGCTTTTTAAAGAGCCAGTTGTTAAACATTTACCAGCACACCACTATGTATAACATAAATCTTTAATCTAATTCTAGTCAGCTCCTAATACATTAGTATGAGGTAAAGGCAAGTACTGCCTCAACTTACATAATTTTTCATTGCCAACTATTCCTAAATTTATGAAAATAAATCCTATTTTTCCTTCCTAGAGCAAACTGAGTCAAAAAAGAAATGGTTACCTTAATACACTTCCCAGGAATGAAAAATAAAGAGCTTTTATACAGCTCTAGATTACATTGAACTGAATATGCTTCACTCAAAACAAGTTATCAACAAGAGCTCAAATTTTTAAAATACCTTATGCTACTTACTAATATTCTGTTTCCTATATTTAACTTCTTAAGTTTCAACATCTAGAGATACTCTTTCACATTTCCTTTGAAATGTGAGTTTTCAGAAGATACATGACTTTCAAAATTTACGTTATTTAGTAAGAATCTTTCCCCTAACTTTTATAATTATACTATTTGTTTTTACCTCCAAACTTTGTGCTTCTGTTGACTCCTTCTCAAAGCTGGCATCCTTTAAAGATGACTCTAAGCCTTCATACTGAAAGAAAGCAACACAGTAAGTAAAAGGGCCATAAATTTTATTCCAAACTAAACCTGCCCTATGACTCACCAATTCCATGAGAAGGAAGAGTAAATCCTCACTGCAGAAAGATAACATTGCCCACAGTTTCAAATTTACCACTATAATTTCTGTTATAATATTACTGATACTCAACATAAAATAATCTGGCATTCAAGAAAACAAGATCTGACTGAGAACCAAGAGAAAAAAATGAGCAAGAGAGCAGACTCTTGGAGGATTCAGGTAATACAGTTCTCCTTCAGACATTAAAATAAGTAAGCTTGATATGTAAGAGGAACCAAAATAATTAAACCAGAAAAAAAAAGAACTACAAAAAGAGCCACACAAACTTTAGAACTGAAAAAGGAAATAAATGAAATTAAGATGGTTTAAAAGATGATTAGATGCAGATGAAGACAATTAGTAAAATGGAAGCTAGATTAGAAGAAAACATCTAGACTGAAGTGTGAACAAAGAGATAAGAAACCCAGAAAAGAACATAAGAGAGACATGGGATATAGTAAAAAACTAAAATACAAGTATTTAAAATTACAGGAAGAGGAAAAAAAAGAAAGCAATAAGAATATTTGAAAAGGTTATGATCAAGAGTGTTACAAAACTAAAGAAAGACATTAAGCCACAGATTCTAGAACATCATGAAGCCCAGGGATGATAAATAGAAGAAACCACATCTAGACAACTAGTAACGCTGCTGAAAATCAAAGATAAAGAGAAAATCATAAAAGTAGTCAGATAGTTTCTTATAAAGTTATACAATACCTGCCCTATGACCTACCAATTCTAATACTAGATATTTACAAAAGAGAAATGAAAATATATACCCCCACACACATACACAAAAAGATAGAATGATCATAGCAACTTTATTCATAATAGCCAAAAGCTAGAAATAACCATATTAAGTGGTAAATGGATAAAAAAAATTGTGATATGTTGATGTAATGCAAATTTACTTGCAAGTTAAAATAAAAAAACTAATATATGCAACAACATAGTGAATCTCAAAAATACAATGCTAACTGAAAAAAGGCAGAAACAAAAGAGTATGATTTCATTTATACAAACTCTGAAACAGACAAAAACTAATTTATGGTGATAGAAATAAAAACAGTGGTTGCTGGCAGGGGTAGGGGACTGAATGAAAATGAGCACACGGGAAATATAAGGGTGATAGAAATGTTTTATGTATTGATTGGAGTGGTAGCTTCATGGGTGAATATACCTGTCGAAATTCAAAGAACTGCATATTTAAGAATGTCATTTTTATTATATGAAAATTATACCTCAATTTTTAAAATTGAAAGAGAAAAAATACAAAACAAGATCACCAAATTGCAATAAAACTTATAGATGACTTTGACCCACAAACAACATGCCAAGGGAAAAAATCAGTAAAATGAGATGTCCAAAGTGCTTAAAGAAAATAACTGCAACTGCCAACTTAGACTTCTATAAAGAGCATTATACAAAATGGAGAAATAAAGACATCATCAGACAAACAAAAACTAAGAGAATTTATCAACAGTATACTCCAGAAAAGAAAAGACCAGGAAGTTTCTCTATCCTTCAGGAGGAAGGAAAATCATCCCAGATAGAAGGTGGAAAGGAAAGAAAGAATAAAGAACAATGGAAAGAATAAATGTGTGGATAAATCCAAATGAATCTTGACTGTTTCAAAGAATAATAAAATGATTTGGAGGTTTATATAAATATAAAGTCAAAATATAGTGCAACAGGGCTTCTCTGGTGGCGCAGTGGTTAAGAGTCTGCCTGCCAATGCAGGGGACATGGGTTCGAGCCCTGATCTGGGAAGATCCCACATGCCACGGAGCACCTAAGCCCGTGTGCCACAACTACTGAGCCTGCGCTCTACAGCCCGCGAGCCACAACTACTGAAGCCCATGTGACTAGAGCCCATGCTCCACAACAAGAGAAGCCACCACAATGAGAAGACCGCCCACTACAATGAAGAGTAGCCCACACTTGCCAAAACCAGAGAAAGCCCACGTGCAGCAACAAAGACACAACGCAGCCAAAAATAAAAATAAATTAAATAAATTAATAATGAGAAGAAAAATACACATATATATACTGCAACAGCACTTAAATAAAAGGGGGCAAGTGGAATTAAAGCATTCTAAGATCTTTGCATTATCCAGTAAGTAGCAACATCACAAATTTATATTAGAATTTAATAAATTAAGGATACATGTTGCAATCTCTAAGGTAACCATTAAAAAAATAAAATCTATAACAAATGCATTGATGTAGAAAATATTGAATTAATAAATGACTATTTCAATCCAGAAGAAAACAAGAGGAGAGAAAAAGCCACATGGGACAGGTGGGTCAAATAGAAAATAAACAGTTAAGATGGTAGGTTTGACCCCTGATAAATTAGAAATTACATTAAATGCAAATGAACTAAATAATCTAATTAAAAGATATTTTTAGACTGATTAAAAAAAGCAAAACCCATCTGTAGGCTGTTTCCAAAAGAGACAGCTTAAACAAAAGTATATAATAAGGTTGAAAGTAAAATAATGGGAAAAGATCTACTACGCAAATGATCATCAAGTGAAAATTGGGATTGTTACACTGTATATCAGACAAAGTCAATTACTACAAATACAAAACAAAAAGACAACCTTCAGAATGTGAGAAAATATCTGCAAACAAAGCAACCAACAAGGGATTAATCTCCAAAATATACAAACAGCTCATGTAGTTCAATTATCAAAAAAAAACAAATAATCCAATCAAAAATTGGGCAGAAGATCTAAATAGACATTTCTCAAAAAACAGACATGCAGATGGCCAAAAAGCACATGAAAAGATTCTCAACATCACTAAATATCAGAGAAATGCAAATCAAAAATGCAATGAGGTATCACCTCACACCGGTCAGAATGGCCACCATCAAAAAATCTACAAACAATAAATGCTGGAGAGGGTGTGGAGAAAAGGGAACCCTCTACACTGTTGGTGGGAATATAAATTGGTACAGCCACTATGGAGAACAGTATGGACGTTCTTTATAAAACTAAAAATAGAACTACGATATGACCTAGCAATCTTGCTCCTAGGCATGTACCCGGAGAAAACCATAATTCAAAAAGATACATGCACCCCAATGTTCATTGCAGCACTATTTACAATACAATAGCCAGGACATGGAAGTAACCTAAATGTCCATCAACAGAGGAATGGATAAAGAAGATGTGGTACATATATACAATGGAATATTACTCAGCCATTAAAAAGAATGAAATAATGCCATTTGCAGCAACATGGACGGACCTAGAGATTGTCATACTGAGTGAGGTATGTCAGACACAGACAAATATCATGTGATATTGCTTATATGTGGAATCTATAAAAAGGGGTACAGGGGCTTCCCTGGTGGCACAGTGGTTCAGAGTCCGCCTGCTGATGCAGGGGACATGGGTTCATGCCCCGGTCCAAGAGGATCCCACATGCCACAGAGCGGCTGGGCCCATGAGCCATGGCCACTGGGCCTGCGCGTCCGGAGCCTATGCTCCGCAACGGGAGAGGCCACTACAGTGAGAGGCTCGCGTACCGCAAAAAAAAAAAAAAAAGGGTACAAATGAACTTATTTACAAAACAGAAGTAGAGTCACAGATATAGAAAACAAACTTATGGTTACCAGGGGATAAGGAGAAGGAGGGATAAATTGGAGACTGGGGTTGACATATACACACTACTATATATAATACAGATAACTAGTAAGAACCTGCTGTATAGGACAGGGAACTCTACTCAATACTCTGTAATGGCCTATATGGGAAAAGAATCTAAAAAAGAGTGGATATATGTATATGTATAACTGATTCACTTTGGTGTACACCTGAAACTAACATTACATTGTAATAAATCAAATATACTCCAATAAAAAATTTTTAAAAAAAGAATTACTACAAATAAAACAGGGGTATTCATAATGATAGAACGGTCAATCTAAGAAAATAAATAATTTTAAATCTATACGCAACTAACATAGCCTCAATATACATAAAAATAATAAAACTAAGAGAAAAATGAATCTACAATATTAATGGGAAATTTTAACATATTTCTCTCAATAACCAATAGACGATATGAATAAATAATTAACAAGTGACAATTTTTATATTTATATACCAATAAACTAGTATATAAAATGCTATGGTATTGACACAAGGATAATAATATGTATATATGTATATTGTATATGAAACATTTACCAAAATCAATCTTATGCAAAGCCAGAAATTAAGTATCAACAAATAAAGGAGTGAAATCATAAAAGGATATTCTCTGAATTAAATATAATTAGGTAGAATTAGGCTAAAACTTAATAACAAATAAACTATTGGGAAATCCCCATATGTTAGGAAAGTAATAAATATCCTAACAAAGAAAATATCACAATAAAATTTTTTAAATATTTTACACTGAATGATCAGGAAACCATGACATATCAAAACTAACAAGATGCTTTAATAAAAGCCAAACTTGCCAAGTAAATTATAACTTTAATGCAGAAATTATAAAAGAAGGCTAAAAACTCAATGATTTTAGTATCCATCCCAAGAAGTGATAGAAAAGAAAAGCAAGTAAACCAAAGAAAAGTTAAAAATGAAGTAATAAAGATAGTAATGAATTAGAAAGCAAATAAAGTAGAAAGAATCAACTAAGCCAAAAGATTGTTCTTTGGAAACACTAAAAAAGTTGATAAACCACTGTCAAGGATAAGGTGACAGAGAGAGAAAGACGGACAATCAACCTAATGTCAGAAATAAAAGAGCAGACCTCTCTGAAGGTACCATAAATGTTTAGAAAATAACAAGAGAATAAACACTATACCAGCAATGAGCAAATAAAAGATATTTTTTTAATTCCATTTGCAGTAACATCAAAAAGAAAAAATACTTAGAAATAAATTCAGCAAAAGAAGTGTAAACCTAATACTCTGCGAACTACAAAATATTACAGAAATAAAGAAGACCTAAATAAATGGAAAGGCATCCCATATTCATGGATCAGAAGACATAATACTGCTAAGATGGCAATAACCCCAAACTGATCTACTGATTCAACATAAGCCCCATCAAAATCCCAGCTAATTTATTTGCAGAAATTGCAAGCTGATCCTAAAATTCATAGAAAATGCAAAAGGCTCAGAATGATCTTGAAAAGTTGGAGGACTTATACTTCCCAATTTCAAACCTTACTGCAAAGCTACACGAATCAAGACAGTGGTCAACTGATTTTCAACAAGGATGCCACAACAATTCAATGGGGAAAGATTAGTCATTTCAACAACAGTGCTAAGACAACTGGATATCCACATGCCAAAAATAAAGCTGGACCCCTACCTAACACAATATACAAAAATTAATTCAAAATAGATCAAAGATCTAAACATAAGAGCTAATCACATAAAACTTTTAGAAGGAAACACAGATGTAAATCTTTGTGACCTTGTTTTAAGCAACAGTTTCTTAGAAATGACACCAAAAGCATAACCAACAAAAGAAAAAAAAGATAAACTGAGCATCACCAAAATTAAAAATTCTATGCTTCAAAGATACCACCAAGAAAGTGAGGACAACATGCCACAGAATAAGAGAAAATATTTGCAAATTACATATCTGATAAGGGGCTCATATCTATAATATATAAAGTTAGAACTCAATAACAAAGACAAATAACCCTATTTAAAAATAGGCAAAGGAGGCTTCCCTGGTGGCACAGTGGTTAAGAATCCGCCTGCCAATGCAGTGGACACGGGTTTGAGCTCTGGGCTGGGAAGATCCCATATGCCACGGAGCAACTAAGCCCATGTGCCACAAATACTGAGCCTGCACTCTAGAGCCCACAAGCCACAACTACGGAGGCCGCATGCCACAACTACTGAAGTCCGCACGCCTAGAGCCTGCGCTCTGCAACAAAGAGAAGCCACTGCAATGAGAAGCCTGCACACCGCAATGAAGAGTAGCCCCCGTGCACCGCAACTACAGAAAGCCTGTGCACAGCAACAAAGACCCAACGCAGCCAAAAATTAATTAATTAATTTTTAAAAATTAAAAATAAAAATAGGCAAAGGAACTGAGTAGACATTTCTCCAAAGAAAATATATAAATGCCAATAAGCAAATGAAAAAATGTTCAACATCACTAGCCATCAGGGAAACGCAAATTAAAACCTCACTGACACAACACTGTAAACCAACTATACTTCAATAAAATCAAAAAACAAAAAAACAAAAAACACCTCATTGAGACAACACTTCACATCAACTAGGATGGCTATAATCAAAAAGACATAATAACAAGTGCTGGGAGGGAATTCCTGGGGGGTCCAGTGGTTAGGACTCCACGCTTCCACTGCAGGGGGCACGGGTTCGATCCCTGGTTGGGGAACTAAGGTCTCGCATGCTGCATAGCGTGGCCAAAAAAAAAACAAGTGTTGGGAAAGATGTGGAGAAAATGCAACATTCACAAACTGCTGGTGGAAATATAAATTAGCACAGCCACTGTGAAACACAATCTCGCAGTTCTTCAAAAAGTTAAATATAGATCCAGCAATTCTACTCCTAGGTATATACCTCAAAGAATTTAAAACATATATCCACACAAAAACTTGTACAAGAATGTCCACAAACAGCATCATTTATAATAGCCAGAAAGTACAATAACCCAAATGTCCACCACCTGAAAAATGGATATATCAGTTGTGGTAGGGAATATTATTTGGCAAAAAAAGATATTAAGTATTGATACATAGTACAACATGGATGAATCTTGAAAACATTATGCTAGGCTTAAAAAGCTAGTCACAAGGAAGCACATGTATCATTCCATTTATGTAAAACTGAATCTAGAGTAGGCAAGTTTATAGAGACAGAAAGTAGATAAGCTGTCTAGGGCTTACGAGTACAGGAGATTGGGTGAAGGGTGACAGCTAAAGAGGTACAGGGTTTCTATGGGGTGTAAAAAATATGTTTGAAAATATTTTGTGGTGGACATACAACTCTGTGAATATACTAAAAGCCATTCATTTGTACACTTTGAATAAACAGTATAATGTGAATCATACCCCCGAAAAGCTGTTAAAAAAACTATACTATTTACAATAGTTTCAAAAATCATCAGATACCAGGGAATAAATCTAAGAAAAGATGTACAAGACCTCAACACAAAAATGTATGAACAATACTGAGAGAATTTTAAAAAGACATAAATAGAGGGATATACCACAGCCCACGGATAAACACTCAACACTGTAAAAAGGTAAATTCTCTCCAAATTAATCTATATATTCAATGCAATCCCAAACTCCTAAAAGGCTATGTGTATGTGTGCATGTGTAAACTGATGAAGTGATTTAAAATTTACACGAAAAGACAAAGTGCCAAGATGGCCAAGACAATCCTGAAAAACAAACCTGGAGGTTTATATTGTCAGACATCAAGACGTGCTAGGTAGACTTTAAAAAGCATGATATTCCAATAAAGATGTTAAAAAAAAATTTAAAAATTAAAAAAAAATAAAAAGCATGGTATTTGTGCAAGGATATATTTTTTTTAAAAAACAGACCAACAGAATAGAAAATATTATAGAAACAGACTCAGATATATACAGTCACATAACTTAAGACTACGACACTACAGAACAAAAGGAAAAGATGGTCTTTTAATAAATGGTACTGGTAAATTCAATAGCCACATGAAAAATATTGAGTACTGGGCTTCCCTGGTGGCGCAGTGGTTGAGCCTGCCTGGCAATGCAGGGGACACGGGTTCGTGCCCCAGTCCAGGAAGATCCCACGTGCTGCGGAGCAGCTAGGCCTGTGAGCCGTGGCCACTGAGCCTGCGCGTCCAGAGCCTGTGCTCCGCAACAGGAGAGCCCACAACAGTGAGAGGCCCACGTACCGCAAAAAAACAAAAACAAAAAAAATATTGACTACTAACCACCAATCACACCATCACAGATTCAATTCTAGATGGATTAAAGATTGATTAATTTAGGGCTGAACTGTTTCCCCTCAGAATGTGTATGCTAAAGCCCCAGTACCTCAAAATGTGACTGTATTTGGAGACAGGCCCTTTAAAGGTCATTAAGTTAGGACTTCCCCGGAGGCGTAGTGGTTAAGAATCCACCTGCCAATTCAGGGGACACGGGTTCAAGCCCTGGTCTGGGAAGATCCCACATGCCACAGAGCAACTAAGCCCGTGTGCCACAACTACTGAGCCTGCGCTCTAGAGCCCACGAGCCACAACTACTGAGCCCACATGCTACAACTACTGAAGCCCACGCACCTAGAGGCCGTGCTCCACAACAAGAGAAGCCCCTGCAATGAGAAACCAGCGCACCGCAACGAAGAGCAGCCCCTGCTTGCCGCAACTAGAGAAAGCCCGCAGGTAGCAACAAAGACCCAACACAGCCAAATATAAATAATATTTTTAAAAAATAAAGGTTGTTAAGTTAAAATGAGCCCCTTGGATTAAGACAGGCCCTAATCCATCTTACTGGTGCCCTTACAAGAAGACATGCACCTGCACAGAGAAAAGACAATGTGAGGACAGGGCAAGAAGATGACCAGTTATGTCAAAATGATAAGCCTCAGAAGAAACTAAACCTGCCAACACCTTGATCCTGGACCTCTAGCCTCCTAAACTGTGAAAAAAAATTAATTTCTATGTAAGTCATCCAGTCTGTGGTATTGTGTTATGGCAGTCCTAGCAAACTAGTACAAAGACTAAATGAGTAAAAAAATTAAGTTTCTAAAAGATAACACAGAAGAATATCTTCATACTCTTGAGTACACAAAAAAAATTTAAGTAGGACACAAATAACAGTCATCATAAAGAAAAGACTGAAAAATTCGACTATGTTACAATTAAGAACTTATGCTTACCAAGACACCATTTGAAATAAAAAGGCAAACCACAGAGTGCAAGAAGATATTTGCAATACGTATATCTGACAAAGGACTTGTATCCAAAATATAGGGAAAAAATCCTACATATCAAAAGGAAAAAGAGAGATAAGCATACTTTTTAAAATGTGAAAAAAAAAAAGGCAACATGACAAAAAGGATATCCAAATGGCCAATAATCATGAAAAGGTGATTAACCTCATTAGTCAGGGAAATGAAAACTGAAACCACAATGAGACATCACTATGCACCTACCACAATGGTTAAAATTTAGACTGGTAATATGAAAGCCACTGAAGTCTCACACTTTGCAAACAAAGCATGAGTGATCTTCAACTTACACAGAAGTAGCTGCATTGAAAAGTATCAAGTCTTCTGTTTCTAACATGAATGTCAATATTTTCAAAAACGTCTTACCTCCTTTTGAACAACACTAAATTTTTCAAGTAGTTTACATTTTTCTTCGATCAGTGTAGAAAGTTCTGCAGCAAGCTTTTTCTCTCTTCCTAAAAACAGAGTTAATGCTATCATGTTTTTAAGTTGATTTAATTGTAAACAACAATGATGAGATCTAAAATAGAAAAAAGAGCTTACCTACATAAAGCCGGCTTCTAACCTGAAACAAATTTTTAACAAAAATTACATTAAAACACACACACATTCAAGCACATATAATTTATTTAACTTCTACTGCCAACTTAAAAACAAAAGGTTTGTTATTGCCTTAGTATAAATGTAAGTTCGCCAAAGTGTTCTATTTCCAATGAGAAAAATACATATGAAAGTCCTCCTACTGAAGAGTCACATTGTGTATTAGCATATTAAAGCCTCTGAAATAAGACTACCTTAAAGATATCTGTTTCATTTCATTTAGCCCACTGCTCCTCAAACATATTTGACCCTAAAACAAACTACTTAAGGAAGCCCCTATATCATCTCCCCAGTACTGATATCCAAAATAACAGTTTGAAAAATGTTACCATGCGGCCATGGATCTGCTGACTATAAAGTAAAAAAACTTTTTTCTTCTTTAACCTCTCTCTCAAACAATGATGGAAAAATTCCATTTATAAGGGGATCAGGTTTAGGACTAAGGTAATCTAAGTAGAGAAAACAGTGGGGACTTAAATGATCTACAGAAGATATACAGGAATAAAATTAAATAAAACAAGATTTAAAAAGTCAAGGTATAGGGTTTCCCTGGTGGTGCAGTGGTTAGGAATCTGTCTGCCAATGCAGAGGACACGGGTTCAAGCCCTGGTCTGGGAGGATCCCACATGCCACGGAGCAGCTAGGCCCGTGTGCCATGGCTGCTGAGCCTGCAATCTGGAGCCCGTGAGCCACAACTACTAAGCCCGCGAGCCACAGCTGCTGAGGCCTGCGTGCCTAGAGCCTGGGCTCCGCGGCAGGAGAGGCCACCGCAATGAGAAGCCCGCGTACCAAAGCGAAGAGTCGCCCCCACTCGCCGCAACTAGAGAAAGCCCACGCACAGCAATGAAGACCCAACGCAGCCAAAAATAAAATAAATTAATTACAAAAGAAAGTCAAGGTACAATACAGTAGGTATAGATGAGGAACAATTAGTGAAATGAAACATCAGATTCAGAAACTATCTCAAAAGGTAACAGTAAACCATTAAAAAAAAAAAGGAAAAAAAGCTAAGAGGGAAGTGAGAAGTAGAAGAGCCAACATCTTAAAAAAATAATAGTCCCAAAGAGGAAAAAAAAATGTAAAATGCAGAAGAAACTTCCCAGAATTAAAAAAGATAAAAGATTTCATATTTAAATATTCAAGAGAATTTAAAGAAATAAGAAAAAAAATCAAACCTGAACATATTATATTGAAATAAGGATATCAAATTAAAAGCCTCCATAGAGAATAGATCACTTACAAATGAATAAGAATCACATTGACACTAGACCTTTCAAAAAGTAACATTAGATGTAAAAAGACAAGGAAGTAAAAGGATAGAACTTTGGATGCAGAATGCTTGTATCAAACAAATTACCATTTCAGTGTGAAGACTTAATTCAAACATCCTCAAGCATACAAAAGGTTTGCCACACAAAGACCAACACTGAAAACAATCTAGAAAGAAGTATTCAAATATGTGAAGAATTAAATTCAGGAGCCCCTGCAAGAGATATGTCAATTATGGGTGATCAAATATCTTGGTAATATTTGTTGTTGTCTTGAGGACTGGAGAAGGGGTGGAGGAGAAAGTACAAAACAAAGAAATGGAAAAGGAAATATTTTTAGAACTAAAATTCTAGATTATACCAATATGAAAGGGGGCTGGAAAGTGAAAGAGACCAAGGGATGTGAGAGTATGCTAAATAAGGTTTTTGTTTTCTCAGAAGGAAGATTTACTTACAAATGTAGAAAAGAAACATTAAAAGTGGAACAAATTAATAAAGTATACTAGAAGAAACTGGTCCAAATACATCAGTAATCAATAATCATAATATATGTAGATACACTAAACTCAGTGAAACAACAGAGATTTTCAGATTATATAAAAGAAATTCATAAAGAACTGAATTACTTTGCTGTACACCTGAAACTAATACATTGTAAATCAACTATACTCCAACAAAATAAAAATAAAAAAAGAAATTCATACAGGACATACATTAAGTAAAAAACCACAGAAAGACTGGAAAATATAAGGATGGAAAAAGACACATGAAATATTACCAAAAAGAAAATTGGTCTGGCTATACTAACATCAGATAAGAGACTTTAAGACAAAAGCATCGGCAGAGTTATATAGGGTCCCTAGATATTGATAAAAGATTCAATCCACCAAGAAGAGATGTAGCAATTCTAAACATGTATCCACCTAACAAAATATCCTCTAAATATGTAAAGCAAGAATTGACAAAACTACAGAAAGTAACTGGTAAATCCATCATGACAGTGGAACTCAGCCAACTTCTCTTCACTCTTGAAAGATGAAGGAAACAACAAAAAAAGAGCAAGAATATGTAATACACGAACACCACAAATTAGTCAATTAGCAAGTCTGACCTAATGATGGATATAGAATGATATACATGTATCTGCTTTCAATAATAATCAGGAGCATAAAGAGCACAGAAAAAGTCTACATGTATGTAGAACTCTCATATGTAGTATGGCAGATGAATGGGAAGAAGGGAGACTATTCAATAAAAAAGCTGGGAAAAACGTTATATTGTGGGGGAAGTGGGGTGGGGAATTACACCAACTCCTCACCCCACACTAAACAAAAAATCAACTCAAGATGGATCAAGCAATTCTGTGCTAAAAGAAAACAGTTTTAATTAAGAATTTCTGGGCCTTCCCTGATGGCGCAGTGGTTGAGAGTCCACCTGCCGATGCAGGCGACACGGGTTCGTGCCCCGGTCCGGGAAGATCCCACATGCCGCGGAGCGGCTGGGCCCATGAGCCATGGCCGCTGAGACTGTGCGTCCGGAGCCTGTGCTCCGCAACGGGAGAGGCCACAACAGAGAGTGGCCCGCGTACCACACACACACACAAAAAAAGAATTTCTACTCATCAGAAAACATCTTAAGAAAAATGAAATGATGTTTCATACTGGGACATATGCAATATAGATAATCAACAAGGATATCATCAAGAATAGATAAAGAACTCCTACAAATAAAAAAGAAAACAACAAACTACTCAAAAGAAAAATGGGTATAAGACATAAATATTTCCCTGAAGAAAAAATACATATGGCCAATAAATTTACTGAGTTTTCAATCTCACTAGTGATCAAGGAATACAAATCAGAACCATGGTTAAGACACCATTCAAGTGGCAAAAATAAAGAATGTCAACAGTAACAGGTGTTGGAGATGACACAGATCAAATGGATCTCTAGGACCTCTTATATACTACTGTTGGGAGTATAAATTGGTACAGACAATTTGGAAAAGAATTTGGTATTAAGTTTTAAAAGCAGAACTTCCAATATACTATATAACACAGTAATCTCACACCTAGTATATTCCCAACAGAAACTTATAAATATACAACAGGAGACAAGTATAAGAAACTACCCAACAGCGTTATTTGTAATAGAAAAAAACCTGGAAACAACTCAAAGGCCCAAGACCATAAAATATATAAATTAATTGTAGTATATTCTTACAATATAATATTCTTAAAACAATCAAAATGGGTCAAAAATATTGATGAATCTTAGCAATATAGGATGGAGTAAAAAAGTTCCAAAACATGACATATGGCATGAGACTACAAAATTACTACACTTCTGAAGGATTTGTGTACATATGACCAAAAAAAAATTTTTTTTAAGGCATGGGAATAATTAACACAGGATCCAGAACAGGATTACCTCTAGTACAGGGAGGCAGGGGGATGAAATGAGGGAGGATCACCTAAATATAGGTGACAGTCAGTGTCTTTGACTCCAGGTTGGGTGGTATATTCACAGATGTATAGTATACTGTTAAAAATAAACACAGACCCCAAATAATAAGCAAGTAAGAAATAAAGGTAGGTTTTGTTGTACACCTGAAACTTACACAACATTGTAAATCAACTATACTCCAATAAAAAATTAAAAAAAAAAAAGAAATAGAGGTAGGGTTTTAGTATTAGTGTGGAATACTCCTACAGAGAATTTTTTTAATTTTTACACTTCAAAAAATTCCTCTAAATCCATATTCAGTTTCTAGTAGCCACACATTAACATGAGTAGCCCACATAACAATAACCTGTTTCCTTAAAACAAAAGATATGTTTCTCATATTACCTGTTCAACATGAAGACAGAACGAACATTCTCTTAGTATATAGAGCACTGGTTACTTACCGATCGAAAACTTCTCCACAAAAACAAGAGAATAGCAAAAAATCCAACAATAGTTGCACATATCACTAATTCCCATGGAAAACCATAGAAGTTAGAACCTGGTCTCATATCTTCAGGCAATGCTGCCACAACCTTCAAGACAAAGAAAATTAACCTCTTAAAAATACACTTTCGATAAAAAGTGTTGATTACAAACTGCTATACACTGAATTTTTCTGTGTCCCCCTGCAACCCCAAAATTCTTATGTTGAAACCTAATCCCCAATGTGATGGTATCTGGAAGTAGGACCATTTGGAGGTGATTAGGTCATAAGAGTGGAGCCCTCAGAAATGGGATTAGTGACCTTAGAAAAGAGGCTTCAAGCTCCCTTGACACTTCTACCACGTGAGGTTATAATGAGAAGACTATGAACCAGAAGTGTGCCCTCACCACACACCAGATCCGTGGCATCTTTATCTTGGTGTTCCCAGCCTCCAGAACTGTGAGAAAAATGTTTGCTGTTTAGGCCACCCCGTCTATGGTATTTTGTTATGGCAACCCCAACAGATTAAGACACAAACGTAAGTACAAGTTTACATGTAAATACTATTAACACCCTTTTCATGAAATGGGTACCAGACTATCACCAAACAGCAGGTATCAGAGGGTATTTTTCTGGCAATTTTCAACCACTATCACCAAGTGATGAAGGAAAGTAGTATGGTGAAATTTAATGATTTTCCAACCAGAGTTCAGAGCTTCTGAAAATGAGAGTAAGAGGAAAGAAGGCCAAAGAAAGAAGCTGAATCAGGTGCTCTTACCCTGATTCAACCAGTTTAGGCTTTTTCCATAGAGTATATGGGGTTCCATATAAGATTTCCCTATGGAGGAAAAAAAAATGGATCTGCTGCTTTATTAAAGTTTGAAAATCACTGACGAAACCTTGGGTTTAGAATTTGAATCTCTCTACCCTACCTCAGTGGCTCCCTTTTCTTATCTGTAATGGGAATAATGCTGTATGAATATGGAGTGCAGGTACTCAATAAAGGTAGCTGTTTCTATTAGTCCTCCTCCAAAGACCATGATCCTATAACCACAGCCTTTCCACATTATTTCTCTCCCTAACAAGTCTTCAGCACAAAACAGCTTAAGGCTTTTGCAGTTGCTTCTGTATTTCATCTTTCTCTGGGTCAGTTCATTATTCACTGTCATCTAATGAGGTTATTTTTTCTTTGTTACCAGGCCCCACATATTATTCAATCACATAAAAAGGTGAAAAGTAGGGGGGGGAAATACCCTTTTTTAAGAACAACCTCAAGTCTGATCAGGTTTGATTCTTTCCAGGGTTCAACCCAAAACCTCTATGGCAAATCTTCCCTTTTTAGGCCCCTTCTACCTAGAAAAACACCTTTTAATATCTATTCTCTTCTCCAAAATCTTTTTTTTTTTTTTTTTTGCAATATGTGGGCCTCTCACTGTCGTGGCCTTTCCCGTTGCCGGATGCGCAAGCTCAGCGCCCATGGCTCACGGGCCCAGCCGCTCCGCGGCATGTGGGATCCTCCCGGACCGGGGCACGAACCCGTATCCCCTGCATCGGCAGGCGGACTCTCAACCACTGCGCCACCAGGGAGGCCCCAAAATCTTTTTTATAACTCTGACCCATATATGCTATCAACAGTTCATTAACCTGTATTAAATAAACCTGATTATACCTTTTCTAAAAAAAAAAAAAAAAAATACCCCGATCTCTGCCTCTGCCTCTCCCTACATTACCCTTGTTACCAGCTCACAGAATTGTGACATCGCTAGAAACAACCAGTGATTTAAAAAAAAAAAAAAAAAAATCTATTTCTGCCTCTGAGAAAAAGAGGCATTCGACACACAATACTGGGAAGAAAAGATGATTTCTTTACAGTTTACATATTCTCCAACCATCTTACTTTCAGCTAACTATGTCAAAACATAGAATGCACATCACTTCAAAAACCTAATAATCGGAATGATTTCTTTACAACACTACAACACTTTAAGAGACAATTCTAAAAGCATCTCTCAGATTAAACATGTAATTAGCTTTAGTATAGTGATATTTCTTAAATACAATAACATTTTATCAGTCCTTCTATTCTAAAAGGGGATGGTAAATTCTAGGTTAAAGCCTTGAGCTGGTGGAATCTGGTGGGATCTGGTGGACTGAGGAATAGCAAAGAATCTGAGTCTCAAGAATGCATCTCAAATCCATTGCTCAGGTCTTAATTATGCTGGTTTTCTCATGGAGATTTTTCACCCTTAAATTTTAACTAAAATATAGAACCCTATCTCACAAAAGTATAGAAAGAATAACCAAATTTATCAAACATCAATAAATATAATGCAATACACAATTACACATGATTTGATAAATTGGTCCTAAATTTTAGAAGTAATAGGTAACCCTCCATACAACATGGTAGTGATTAATCATGGAACACTTAAAACCTATTCCACTCCCAAACGTGAGTATTAAAGGAATTCTAGACCAAGTAACTTAAAAGAAGCAATTAATCAAGTTGACAAAATACAGTAAGGTTAAATTAAAATTATTTTTCATTTTACCTCAAATAAAAATTATATTAATAAAAATAACATAATAAGATGTCAATATACAGGCCCTGATAATACTTGACTGTAATGCAAAGTTTTATGAACCTACACTCTCCAATACATAAAACTTAAAAAATAATTTCCACTTTACATAAAGAGATTTTTTCCTGTAATTAGTGATAAACCACCAAAAAGTTTAAAAGGGGCACTGATTCACTCATTATTCATAATCAAGTTTGATAAAAACTAATTTTAGTATATCCTTTCCTTAAATTTTTTTTCTTTACAAAAAATGTAAACTTGTAATCATTAATAATAATTCTCCCTTTAAAAGGGTATCAAAAGAGCTTTAGAATCAAATGGTCTAAAAAGAGCTAAGGCAGAATAAGAGTTCAACCCAAACAAGATGAAACACGATCTGTAAAATTAATAATTACCTCACAAGAAGCAGTTAACATTCGTTCAGTCATTCATCCATCTACCCAGAAACCAATTCCACATTTATTAACAAGATACATTCCAGACACTTTGAAAAACATACTCTTTTCATTTTATCCATTTCCATTGTTTTAACGGAAACTAAACACTAAAACCACTATGCTAGTAACTCACAAATCTGTGACTCCAACTCTGAGTTTTATAATACCAGTTTATTGGACAAATCTACATGGATGTCCTGGAGGGGTCACTGTACAGAAAGATCGTCTGATACAGTCTATGTTCTACTGAAACAGGAAAGCTTCCTGCAAATAGTTATGATATCATCCTTAATGTGGTGAGGGAAGTGATCATTCCCAAAGCCAACCATACAGATAAAGGGAGAGGACCTCTAAAAGGAAACCAGTATCTGATCTTAAGCTGGTAAAACAACTATTTCTACTTTGGTCATTCTCTCTTGGGACCTAGACATTGAGGAAGGTAGTGGTAAGGATGGGTGCTAAAATGGTACCTAGCCCATAAAAATATGCCAGGTCCTGAGACTTCCCTGGTGGTCCAGTGGTTAAGAATCTGCCTTCCAATGCAGGGAACACAGGTTCGATCCCTAGTCAAGTAACTAAGATCCCACATGCTGCGGGGCAACTAAGCACACACACTCTAAAGCCCATGCACCACAACCAGAGGGCCTGTGTGCCACAACTAGAGAGCCTGTGTGCTTCAACAAAGAGCCCATGTGCTGCAATGAAAGATCCGACACAGCCAAATAAATAAATAAATATTAAAATATATATATATGCCAGGTCCTAAAATGGGACACAGGCTGGAGAGGAAGGTATATTATTAAGACTAAACTGTCTAATTCTTATTCTTCTCGTTTCTTTTTTTTTACCCTTAGTATACAACCACTTAGTAAAGGTTTACTTAAATGTTTCAGTCTTGTTTGAGCCTTGTTTCAGCAGCCTTATCAGATATTAGCCTTAGCCTAACATTCTAAATAAAAGCAGGGCAGCGTTATACACACATTTTTGTTTATAACTCCCTTTTTCTCTATCTGATTTAAAACACAATTGCATAATGCAATAATTAGAAATTTATTTTGTTGGATGTAAAATACATAAAGACATAAATTGTAACAAAAATAGCATACAGAATGCAAGGATGGAACTATATAAGCAAAGTTGTTGACATTAGGTGGATTAATCCAAAGGAAATCATTATAAATCAAACACATACAGTTAAGGGGCAGGGAGGGGGGACACTAAAATGGCACAGTATAAAACATCTATATAACACAAAAGAAATGAAGGAACTAAGAAACAAAAAAGACCTAAGAAATATAGAAAATAAACAGCAAAATGGCAGAAGTATCACTAATTATATTAATGTAAATGGGCTATACTGTCCAACTAAATGGCAGAGATTGGCAGAATGGACAAACAAAAAAAACACGTTCCAACTATATGCCATCTATAAGACACATACTTTAGATTAAAACACATAAATTGGTTGAAAGATGGAAGAAGAGGCGAGACTGGTTCAAGATGGCGGAGTACAAGGACGTGTTCTCACTCCCTCTGGTGAGAGCACCGGAATCACAACTAACTGCTGAACAATCATCAACAGGAAAACACTGGAACTCATCAAAAAAGATACCCCACGTCCAAAGACAAAGGAGAAGCCACAATAAGACGGTAGGAGGGCGCAATCACAATAAAATCAAATCCCATAACTGCTGGGTGGGTGACTCACAAACTGGAGAACAATTATACCACAGAAGTCCACCCACTGGAGTGAAGGTTGTGAGCCCCACATCAGGCTTCCCAACCTGGGGGTCTGGGAATGGGAGGAGGAATTCCTAGAGAATCAGACTTTGAAGACTAGCAGGATGTGACTGCAGGACTTCGACAGGACTGGGGGAAACAGAGACTCCACTCTTGGAGGGCACACACAAAGTAGTGTGCACATCGGGACCCAGGGGAAGGAGCAGTGACCCCAGAGGAGACTGAACCAGACCTACCTGCTAGCGCTGGAGGGTCTCCTGCAGAGGCGTGGGGGGGGGAGAACAAGGACACTGGAAGCAGAAGATCTGGGAAGTACTCCTTGGCGTGAGCCCTCCCAGAGTACACCATTA